CGTGGTCGCCTCGATGGAGACCAAGTTCGAAGTGCCTGCACTGCCTTTTGAGCAGCACATGAAGACGCGACAGGCGCTGAACCATCTCCCGGATCTACTGCTGGACGGATTTGCTAAGCTACTGGACGAGAAATGCGTGAGTCTTTCAGAACAAAAAATGCTCCGTACATTAATCCATGGCCGCTCCCGAGGTACTTGCAAGCAGTGGTTCGATGCTGTGACTCGCTATAGTTTTCATTTTGTTTTTCAGGTCCATTGTTATCCTAGATAACGCAAAAATCCACATGTACCGCGAGCAGGGCTGCCGAATATGGTATTTTCATTTATTAGCGCAGATAGAGCCTCATAAATAATGCCAGGATCTTGTCATTTGTATCTGCATAAATTATGTAATGTATTCGAGCAATAAATAAATAATGTGGTGCAACTTCAACGGGTATTAGACGTACTGTTACTCACACTAATTGACGCTATCGACTGTCGAAACGTCCCAGAAGTCACCATTCTCACGCAGAAACAAAATTGTTTCCAGCGTAGCGGACTGGAGACTGTTGCGCTCTTGAGCAAACGTGGTACGCGCCACGCTGAAAACCGCTCGACCTTGTTCGAGGTCGGCGGGATGCTGGAGATGAGGTCGTAGCGGGGCGTTCGCGCCTCGAGCCGGCGACGCTTCTCGAGACGCTGGACAAACGAGCCCTCTGGATCCTCGCCGCCGTCTTCCGCACCGTTCGTGAGATAGTATCATAAATTATGAGTGTGGAATAGTAATCTGGTATCATAAATAATGGTACGGTCTAAGCCACCGCTCATAAATTATGCAATAATATTTATAACAATTACTTGAGCGTCAATTTATTTTTCGGCTGCCCTGCAGGGAACGACTTCTGGCGCTCATGCGCCGACCAGTGTGTGAGAAACGGCAGATCGTTGTCAAGCGCGTTGTTGAGGCATGGGATGCTGTTAGCGAGAGGTGCATTACGCGTGCTTGGGAAAAGGCAGGCCTTTATAAACTATAAAAACGGGGGACGTCAGTAGCCGCGGCTACTGTGTGGGAACCCAGGCACCCACATGAGCAATATGCCCTTAACTTTGCTTTTGTAACAGTGTGGGATTTGAACCCACGCCACCAGCGGAACTGTCACGTTAAGTTCACACTTCGTCAAAAGTAAATGCCTATTGGCTAAACATTTTCAGTGTCATATCTTTGTGTCTATGAGTTCAGGTATACATAGTAAAAACCCTTACGCGTCAGATCAATCTGTCGCAATCTGTAGTACTATTTTGCTAGTTTTACTATGATCGTGTGTTACTGGCAATCCCTGCTCAAGATACGCAAAACTAGACCTCAAATTCGAACGCTACGCCCGTTTTTACCCCTTATATCTAGTGTTGATATAGGTTTTGTGAAATGTAGGCACTTTAATCTTGCCTCAAAGTCCGTCCGAGGTTTGCTGGCCGGGACAATAGCTCAATGATGGACTATGCGCATCTCCACCGCGCTATCAGTATCCTATCAGCAAATGTCATATTTTTAACCAAAATCTCCCTTCGCCAACGTCCGCAAACAGCTTTATCCCCACCGCGAAAACAGCAAGCAGCAAAGCAAATTGCTTGGACCCGCCCCCTGCCCATTTCTATGCATTACTACCGAGGCTCCATTCCGTATTATCTGTTTGCTACACTTGGTTTAAGTCACGCTATTTAGTCGGACCCTGCCTAAATGTGGTGTACGATTTTTTTAGGAGAAAAGTTCAAATTTAAAAATGTTCTAAGATCAATATTTCAGAAATCTAAGACCATGAGTGACTCAGCACAACGAGATCTGTCCAGATCCGCCGTCTTTGTGGTATTTCAAGGTCCTGGGGTAAATTTGGTTGCGCAGTGTGTCACGAAAAAAACCGGAAGCACGACTATTTGCGAACTACGACTAAATAGCGTGAACGGTGTAAGGTTCAACCTTTTTGGCCTGCCTTTCTCTGCTGTTGGCTGCAAAAGCGACAGCAAATTCGGGTGATTTGCTGTCGGTGCGGGAATTTATTTGCTGATATCCTACGTTGCTGACAGCGGTGAAGAAAAATATCAGCATCCTATCCGTAAAGTAAAATAGTTTACTGTCTTATCAGCTATTTGCTGACGCGGTGGAGATGCTCTAATCACCCTGGTTTGCTAATCTCAACAGCATCGAGAGCTGCTGGTATTCGTTGACTGGCTGAAATTCAAAGCTACAGCCTTTTGGTTGGAGAAAATACTTTTATCTGCAGATCGAGTACGGGTTTTGCAGTAAGTTGCTGCCAGCAACACCTTCGGACGACATTCACACCTGCAACCTCCAAACCTTCGAACCGTGAGAAACACTAATGTATTGGTCGCATCATGCGTTTCTAGGTTTTACAGCGTTTTACAAACACCATATTAGAGTCAGCTTGTGTAAAAGTCCTCTCATAAGACATGGCAGGAGTCCTCCGTAAGACCTGAAATCCCGAATGCCGTTAAAATGGGCGACATTCGGACTTTCGTCGGTTGTTTGTCGGACCTGCGCAAGTGTCTCCATCGCACTTGCAATTCTTGGTCCTAATTCCCTACGAGGGGCCTCCCTATAACCTAACCCCACCTAAATAAGTAGCAGTTTTACACGTCCGATCTGCCATAACAAGTGAAAAGCACAATAAAACAACGAATTAATCGTTGTTTAGACAGAAAGCATGCAAGGCAAAATAAAACAACGACACAATATTCACTCATGAGCACGTTCGTTAGTGAACTATACTTTGCTATGGCCTTACGAGCCTCTAAGCGTGCTCACAAGCAGTGCCCAACCGTGCAAGTTCTAGGCGTCAGTTGACTCCCGAACTCGTTATTAGCAGCACAATTTCGCCTATTGTAGTGCCTTTATAATAGCAGCCGACAACCGACGACCTGCGCTCACCCAGATGGCTACACTCTCCAAATCTACTTGTTTTTAGTATTGCTCATCGGACGCCGGCCAGCCCATCTTTCCACGCCCTGTCGCCCCAACCCCAGCGGCGCCTTGTCGTTTCCTCACTCAGTCAGTAGCCTCCAAGCTTCCGCCGAGGAGCTCAGCTCAGCTCAAGGCCGGCCGGCTCGTGACCAACACTCCTTCTCACACACGCGCCGACAATGGTGGACCTGCGGCCTGTCGCGGACGCTGCGCCGCCCTCGCCGCCGCTGACGCCGCCCTCCAGCGCGTTCGCAGGCGACGAAGACGAGGACGAGGCCGAGTGCCGCGTGTGCCGCGGCGAGGCCGAGCCGGGCCGCCGCCTGTTCGCGCCCTGCAAGTGCAGCGGCAGCATCCGCTTCACGCACTCGGACTGCCTGGAGCAGTGGCTGGAGCACTCGGGCAAGAGCTTCTGCGAGCTGTGCGGCCACGAGTTCACGTTCACGCCGCTGTACGACGCCAACGCGCCCGACGTGCTGCCCTGGACGGAGCTGCTGACCACGGGGCTGCGCGTGGTGCTGCTCAAGTGGCTGCCCTTCGCACTGCGCGCCGCGCTCGTGCTCGTGCTGTGGCTGGCCGTCGCTCCGTGGTGCACGAGCTGGCTCTACCGCATGTGGCTGCTGCGCGCGTCCGCCATGGTGAACGTCAACTTCTCGGAGCGCTTCGACGCGCCGCGCATTGTGGCCGACATCTTCTCGGGCGTGATCTTGATCGTGTGCATCGTCTTCTCCTTCCTGGCGCTCATGTCCTTCGCGGACTTCCTGCGCTTTCACCTGGACCACATCGAGGAGGAGATGGCGGCGGAAGAGGTGCCTCACCACCACCACCACCACCACCACCACCACCACAATCACAACCACCACCGTCATGACGCGGCGCACCAGCCCATGCGCCGCGCGCAGTTCGGAGAGGGGAACCACGCGGACGACGCGGCGAATCTGGACGACCACGACGCGGAGCCGAGACTGCGCCCAATGTTCGACGGCCCCAGGAGACTGGGCAACTTGGACGAGAACGCGGACTCGGACGACGACTCGTCGGACGAGGAGTGGGTCGACCAGCCGAACCATGACGAGCCTTTCGCGGACGCCTTCATCCAGCACCAAGAGTTCGGAGTTCCACTTGTTGAAGATGCGGATCCTGTTCCAGAGCCGCAACACGAGCTTCGTCAGCGACGCCCACTGCGAGACGCACCGGAAGTGGGAGAGGGGCGTGGTCGGAATGCTGCTGGAGCTGCACCGAGGGCTGCGCGGAATCCGCCGCCGAATATGAACCAGCGCGAGTGGGAAGATGATTTCGAGCACATGGAGATTAATATCGCGATGGATGAGCTGCTGGGACTGCGTGGAGACTTTATGGTGCTGTTCCGCAACGTGTCGTGGCTGCTGGCGTTCAACGGGGCCTACCTTGGCTTGTTCGCGTTCATCCCGTACACACTCGGCAGCACGTTGCTGTCCGCAGGAGCCAGAATTGTTGCATCCCTGCCGGTTGCCTCTTCGGCGTTCGCTTCGTTGGGTGCAGTCGAGTTCTCAGCGGACCAAGAACTCTCACTCGGGGCCTTTTTCGTGAAGACGTTGTTGCAGTCAGTCGAAACGGCAAAGCAAAATGGCGACTGCTTGCAGCTTGTCGATCTTTGCACGTGCACAATGGGCTACTTGTCGATCTGTTTGACGATCGTGCTCTGGAGGTTTATGGTGAGGACTGCGTCTTCGTATATCCACCGACCTCTAATGGACGGTCTGCTCTGGGCCTTGCGCTGCCTGACGGCGATTGTGAAGGTGTCGACGCTGCTGTTGCTGAAGATGGTGATCTTACCCATTATTTTGGGACTATGCATCGACTTCGCCTCGCTCCACTTGTTCATGGTGACCGCGCAGGACCGCATCGCGTTCTGCATGGGAAACATGATCTGTGCTCTGATGGTGCACTGGGTTCTGGGCATCACGTTCATGCTTTTCGTGACAGTTTCTGTCCTGCAAATGCGAGAAGTTGCCCACCCGGATATCCTAGCCAAGGTGATTCGCCCGCAAGAAGACCACCCGGACCTACTGCGCACGCTGCTGAGTGAGAGGTGCCTGAAGCACGCTCGTCGTATGATTCTGTCACTTGCGATTTATGCGGGGCTGCTGCTGGTGCTGGTCCACGCGCCTGTGCGCATAGCAACCGCGGTAGCTCCGTCGTTTTTCCCGCTCAGTCTGCGCTTCCAGCACTTCAGCCCGGAAATCCAAGTACCGTTGGAGCTACTCGTGGTCCACCTCGTGGTGCTTAGCGTCTTGGAGCACGCGAAGAACGATATTGGGAAGTTTCAACACCTCGCCATTGTGTTTGCGAGTGAGCGATTGGGTTTGACGGAGTTCCTTCTACCTCAAACTGAGCTTGAGGTCGTTGTGAACGGCCAGCGGAAGTCCAATGTCGTGGTGCTGCCGCCGCCACCTCTTCACTTCCACCCTCGTGCCCAACTTCCGCCCGAGGAGCTACGTGTGGATGGCCATCGTTATTTGCCGTGGCCTGAGGAGGGATTGGACGATCCCATGCCTGTTGAGTACCCGTTACTCCCCAGGGAGAGACCGTCTCATCTTCCGGTACGACTCACTGGACTAGCGGTGTTTACCTGGGCAGTCTGCATTGTGGTGATCGGGACGTTCTTGTTCGGGTCGCTGTTCATCGGTCGTATTTGCATGGCTCCGCTTGAGCGTGTGTCGGGTATCAGCCACGACCCGCTCGTGATGGCCGCCGGCGTTCAAATCGTTTGGTACTTTGTGAACGGTGTTCACGCTCTGAACATTCTGATGCTTCCGGAAGACCGAGTGGACCCGACCCTGGTGCAGCGTGGATACTCGGTCCGTAACATGACGCCAGCGAACGCGGTGACCTGCGCCGTGGGGTGGGCATTCGTGTGCCCGTTCCTGCTGGGGCAGGTGATGTCATCCTGCGTCGCGAGCGCGAATGCCTCTTCGTTGGAAAGCTTCCTGATGGGCTACTTGATGTTCAATCTGTTTGCGTGGCTGGTGTGCTGCTTCCGAGCGAAGCGCAACAACAGACGCCGCAATCAGCGACAAGCAGCTCTCGAAGAGCTGGAAGCTGATGAGGATGGATTCCTGGATGTGGAGGACGACGACGAACTTTTCGAGGATGACCTGAATGATGACGAGCTGGAGGAGGAGGAAGAGGAGCGACTGCTGCAGGAGGGAGTTGCTGCTGCCGCTGCCGGCGCGGAGCCGGTTGGCTTCATTGCATGTTTCCGCAAGGCGTATCGCCAACTCCAATTCAACGTGACTGTACACGAGAACGAGGCTATTCGGCTGCGTCGGGACAATATTCGCGAGAAGTGTTTCGACGTGGATTTCTTCCAGGAGAACGTGCTGCACCCCATCGTGGCGTTCCTGCTGGGAATGCTGGTGGTGCCGTGGCTGTTATCCTCGGTGGTCTTGGTGGTCTTTTCGTCAGAGAAGGCCAACTTTGAGAAGACTGCGTTCGCGATGTGCGCGTTCTGGGTCGGCACGGTCTTCGTGCTGGTGCGCTCGCACTCGCACGTGAGTCGGTGGCTCTCGAATCTCAGCGAGTCGATCCGCAACGAGCGCTATTTGATCGGCCGGCAGCTGCAAGACATGGCGCGGTAAGGAAGAAGACCAAGTCGACTTCAAGCATCAAGAGATGATATCAAGCAGAAGCGCGGTGATTCATGTGCTGGCCCCGCTCCAGCCATAATTGCGTCCGCTCCGTGCGAGCCCAAGTGATGCCTGGCGAGGGAGTGTGTCAGTCAAGCCGAGATGCCAAGTCGGCCGACGCCTTCTGCAGATTCTCGTTGCGTGTATTGACATTAGATTAGGATGAGGCGACCCTCGTGTGGATAATAACAACGCTCTTGTTTTCAAACAGCAACAACAACAACAACGCATATCCCAGCCCTGGACGTTTGGTCTGTTTTTGTAGTGAAACCAATGAATTCGACTGTGTTCGGCGGCCCAGGTCGGTCAGGGACCTGACCAGGTCGGTCAGTCTCAAGTCGAGCAGAAGAGGTCGTCGCCATGGTGAACATGCGTCGTGCCCTGGAGAAGCTCAAGCTGCCCAGCGGCCTGCACAGCGAGCGCGTCCAGTGGCTGTACGAAGGCGCCAAGGCGCACGCGCCCGACGGCGGCTACCTGCTCTACTGGATGCAGACGTCCGTGCGCACCAAGCACAACTACGCGCTCGAGTACGCGGTGGCCGCCGCCAACGAGTTGAAGCTGCCTCTGCACGTGGTGTACCTCTTCCCGGACCGCTCGGTGGCGCCGCCGCTGCAACCGGTCGAGGACGACGAGTGGAAGGCTGAGGCGGTGCAAGACGCCAACGCGCACGCGTTCGCCACGGAGCGTCACGCGCAGTTTGCGCTCGAAGGGCTGGCCGACGCCCACGAGCGGCTGGCCGGCCGAGGCCTGAGCTTCGACGTCTTCCACCACCGCCACAAAGGCGACGAGCGTCCTGCGCGCAACGAGCTGCTCGAGTTCTGCGCGCGCAAGGCCGCTCTGGTGGTGACGGACCGCCCGTACTTGCGTCCGTGGCGTGCGGCGCTGGACAAGCTGGTGTCTGCAGTTGAGGATGACGGAGACGCTGGCAGCTCCAACGCTGGCTTCGGCATCGTTCAGGTTGAAGGAGATGTCATTGTTCCTGCTGCTGTTGTCACGGACAAGGAAGTAGTACGCGGCAAGGACCATTCGCCCCAGGATCACCAAGCACCTGGACCGATACGTCGTCCCGCTGCAGAGCGTGAGTCTAGAGCAAGAGTACCAAACGGAAGGCAAGTCGTTGCTGGCTGTCCTTGGCTCTCCGAAGCCGTTGAAGCCGCTGGATGTGACGAGCTCAGAGGCTGTGGCCAAGACACTGGGGCTGCTGGACGTTGATCGCAGCGTCAAGGCTGTGAGCTGGCACTTCCGAGGCGGCGAGGCGGCGGCTTCAGCTTGCGCCAAGAAGTTCCTCACTCCGGATAAACTCGCGAGCTACGCGACTGAGCGCAACGAGCCGAGTCTGGATGCTGGCAGTGACTTGAGTCTCTACCTGCGCTTCGGCCACATCAGCGTCGTGCGCGTTGTGCTGGCTGCACACAAGCTCAAGGGCGTCACGCGCGCTAAAGAAGGCTTGGCGTCCTTCCTGGAGGAGCTCATCGTGCGCCGCGAACTGTCCGTGAACTTGGTCGCCTACAACCAGCAGAACTACGACTCCATGCGCTGCCTTCCCAGCTACGCGCAGATTACCCTGGAGGAGCACGCGGGTGACAAGCGAGACCAACTGTATTCGCGTGAAAAGCTCGAGTCTTTCCAGACCGGGGACAGGTTCTGGAACGCTGCACAGCGCGAGCTGGTGGTCACGGGCAAGATGCACGGCTACATGCGCATGTACTGGGGCAAGAAGCTGCTCGAATGGACCCCTACTCCCGAGCAAGGCTTCAACGCCGCTTTGGTTCTCAACAACAAGTACGCACTGGATGCACCGGACCCGAACTCGTACGCTGGGGTGGCCTGGACATTCGGAAAGCACGACCAAGGCTGGAAGGAGCGCCCCATTTTCGGCAAGGTGCGCTACATGAACGAGGCTGGTCTCAAGCGCAAGTTCCGCATGGACGCGTACGTGCTCAAGGTCGGCCGACTAGCGGCCAAGGCAAAGAAGGGGTCTGCAGAGGAAGGACCCGCTGACCCAGAAGAAGAGGTGGAGGCTACCAAGCCTGGACGTAAGAAAAAGGCTGCTGCTAGCGATAAAGGCGCCCCTGCCAAGAAGGTAAAGAAGGCATAACCAACACAATTAGCGGTAGCTGAAGAGAACGAAAGCTAATGCCAGCTCCCGCCAAGAAGATAAAGAAGAAGACGATAATAATAATGCTACGAAGCTAACAAGAACTTGCCTGCAGTATTTATACTTGACCGAGTGATCCCGGTTACTACAGCACGCACACCTTTCGCAATACGTACCTCGGATCGTCATGGAAGTCCCCGGACGAGCAGGTCGCCCATCGCTTACGATCGTCACCAACCTTTCTCAGCAGCAAGCCAAGATCAAGAATGCCCATAGCTTAAGATCTCGCACACTTTCTTCGGCCTCGACGTGTGCGACCACTCCATCATCAACGAAGTCTGCAACGTCTGCACCGCCGCCAGCCCCATCGACGCTGACTCCCAGCAACCAGAAGATCGCCACGCCCACTGCGATTCCTCGATCCCGAGCTTACAAATACTGCTCCGACCGTGATTGCTTCTCCCCAAGTTCCGCTTTAGATGCCGCGACTTCAAGAGCAACAGAATCCTCGTCAGCTAAGGCAGCATCGACCCCTTCACGTCCGCATGTGTCGACAATGAGCACAGATACTTACTTCAAGCTGCTCAAGAAGTCTCAAGTCCTTGAACAGCTAGTGCAGCTGAGTTCGCATGTTGGCCAAAGTGAACAGCGCGTACGCCGCCTCGAGTGTGAACAAGCACGAGCACAATGCGTCCAAGACCGCGTGTTTGCTGAGCTCGAGCGATATCGTCGCCAGGTTGTGGACGCCCAACAGCAATTTCTGGGGCTGATCGAAGCTCTTACCGCCCTTTGTCTGCGCGAAGACGATCTCCACGCTGGAACCTCAGAGGGGACTGACGATCCGGCACACGGTGATGCTCTCAGTGCAGAAGAACAAACACTTCAGGACTTGCAGCGTGCAACTTCGCCAACTGCGAGGTCTTCACCTTCTCCAGGCTCGACTCTGGAAACGCGGGCCCTTGCGACTGTAGGCCGTCAACGAATGCAACAACTTGAGGCGATCTGCGCGCGCTACGAACGCCAGCTAGTCGGCTCTGAAGCTGCACTCTCGCAGGCAATATACTCGGACGCAGCGCGAGAAAGCGCAGCGAAAATCGCGCAACTGGAGGCTCACAACCTACAGCACGAAGCGGACAAGCACGCACTCGAGATTCAGCTTGAAATTGCAAAGGGTCAGGTAGCGCATTTGCAGGATCAACTCGCACAAACTCAAGAGCGCCGAACAACTCTCGAGCATGTACGTACACATGCACCGAGGTGGAGTTGCCATTGTCTTTATCCTTACAAACATTGCAACACAGGTGAACCAACGACTTGAACAAGAGCTTACAAGGCATACCACAGCAACACAACAGGTGCGTCGATCGACACCAACTGGATAGAGGTCATACCCGAGACTCACCGCCGGTCTTGTACAGTTTGCATCGGACTTGCAGGCGGAGCTGCGGAGACGTTACGGGTACGTTGACCTGCAGTATCCTTCAATCGTTAGTGCACCACAATTAATGAGGAACTTGTACCAGCGTCGTGCCTTCGGTTCTGGAGCTGAAATGGCAGCACTACTTCCCACGACTGTCTCGACCGTTCTAGCAGCATGAGAGTCAACGATTGCTGCCCCGCAGCCGTCTTCCTTGACTGCGAGGCGTTCACTCAACCAAGCAATAACTCAAAAGGAGGATGCAATGTTACTCACTTTTCACTCATACACCTTCGAAGGCCCGAGACAGACAACAGTTAGCAGACATCGCCGTGTTTGCTGGGCCTCTGATGAGTGCTTTAAAAAATGCTGCGACGTGATTCCTGCTCGCCATCTCGACTTTTTGTGGTGGTTTTCTCTGTATCATGTTTGCTTGACGTGCTGATGTCTTCAGTCTTCCCTGTAAGATTCTTTTTCTCCTTCCTCTCCGCGCTGTACCCGCCCGCTCCCCAGCAACTCCATCACGTTATGAACAACTTGGGACGCTCGAACAACTGCTGGAAGAGTCGGAAAGTCTCGGTATCGCGTGCGATCTTCTACTTCTTGAGCCCCTTCAGCATCTTTTGCCGACGGCCGGTCGAGAGCTTGTTCTGCACGAGGAAGGGAGCCTGGATGCTGCTGAACTTGTCCGCGTTGCCCGACGTCACGCCAGCGCCGAGGCCACGATCGTTGCCGCTGCTCACGACACTCCTACTAAGATTATTACTATTCTGGTGCGTCATGGGATTCGACGAACCCTGGTTATACGATTGCGCCAGAGGTTGCGGAGCAGGTATCGGCGGAGGCGGAGCTCGGTTCTGCCGCCATGTGTACGACTCTTGAGTCTTTATCACCTTACGCTGCGGTGGCTGTTGCTGCTGAGACGGCGCAGGCGGAGGAGACGGAGACGGTGCCCGGTGATATTGAGGTGCGTGTGGTGCCGGTGCCGGAGCTGGTGCTGGCGCTGGTGCGCGCGGCTGGCTACTACCCACGTTTCGCACCTGGAACTTCAACGTAAGCGGTTTCTGCATCACCTTGAGTAGTGTCATGACTTCCTCGAACGACTTGTCACGAACATGTACGCTGCGTCCATCCACCGAGATCAAGCAGTCGTTCATCACAGTTTGCGGCAAATGAGCAGCACTACCTGTGCCCGTCACACGAGTGATGTATGGGTATTCACAGGTGTTGTCAGCGCCGCGCAGCGAAAGACCCAGAGGTGTACCATCTTGCCAGACGACGTTGTAAAACTGCACACCGTTGTCCTCTCCGGCCGCGGCTAGCGCTGCCTTTCGGCTGTGGCTTGGAGCAGGAGCCTCGTACTGAACTGGTGGTGAGCTCCCACCGGAGTTCGACGAATAGGAGCCTTGACGTTCATGGTGCGGCTGGGCAGACTTGCGCCTGAAGAAAAGAGTCACCGGGCGTGGCACGTTCTTCAGGTGTGCCACAATGTCCTGGAATATCACGTGCGTCACGTCCATATCATTGATATGAGTCACATCGTCACCAAGGCAGTCCTGCGAGAGGTGAGCCGCTGCACCCTGAGCAGCGATTCGCTTAATAAACGCGCCCGGTGCGTCATCCTTCGCATCAATCGTAAGACCGAGAGGGCCTGATCCCCACACCACCTTGTACACGTCACTCGGTGGCTCGCGCGATACTTGCCTCACAATCTCGGTAGCGTGATTACTTGGGGGAGGCATCGGCGCTGGCGCCGGTGGGCTCGCGCGCACTGGGGCACTGTAGCTCGAGTGATTGCTGGTGTCACTTTTGGCGGACAGCGCCGTACCGTTGCTACGGTATGAAGAAGACGCACCCCTGGCATCATCCTCGTCAAGCGCGGCGCGGAAGCGCAGCAACACAGGCTTGGGCGCAGTCTTCAAGTAAGACACAACGTCTTCAAAGTGCATCGTGCCCGTCTCGATCCCATTCATGCTCTCCAAGAAATCGCCCACCTGCGCCTTGTCAATACCCACCGAGGTACCTGTGCCAGTCACCTTCTTGATCACAGGGAGGTCTCCCTCGTTCAGACCCGGGATGATAGTGAGACCCAAGGGTCCTTCACCCCAGTTAACAGTGTACTTGCTTGGGCGTGACATGCTCATGCTGAAGTTCATCACCGACGGCGCACGCTCGTCAATCGAGATGTTTTCCGGCTTGAGCGAGGAGGGGGCACGCGAGACTGTCACGCTGCTTCGCGGCGGCACCTCGGGGGCACTGTTGTTGTTTGACGCCGTTCCTGGCGCAGATCCACCCACACCACGGAATCGCAGCTTCGCCGGCAACTGCACCTTCTTGAGGATTGACATGGACAGCGAGCAACCGAGCTGGATAGTGTCAATGTTGTTAATAGCCACCAGCACGTCACCAATGGCGATGTTCTGCTTCACAGCCACCGATCCAGCCTTCTTAGTCAAGCGGTTCACGATCGGAATCTTTTGCGTGGCGCAGTCGTCCTTCAGTGTCACACCCAACGGACCGTTTGACCACGTCACGGTGTAGTCGTGCACCTTGCAGTTTTCCGGGGATGGGTCACCTGCCTCGAATTTCATGATAATCGGCGACGCGTACGCTGCGAAAATGTCGTTCAGGTCGTCCTCCGTGCACACAGTATCGTCGATAGCACGTCCGTTAATCGACAGGATCTTGTCGCCCACGCAAATGTGGGCGAACGATTCGTCTGCGTCCAGCTCCGTGACCGTGTTCCAAACGTTCGTCGCATCGTCCGCGCGGAAGCGCAGGCGCGGCAAGAAGCTATGCTTCCACACCACCACACGCAACGCATCAAAGGCAGCGCACGCGTTGTTCCACGAGGACTCCTTCGATACGCTGCGCGGCCTGCTGACAGTGGCCTCTGGCGTTCCATCGATAGCCGACACTCCGGCAGCAACCGCCTCCTCAGCAGTCAGCGGCACCGCCATCTTGTCCTCGGACTGCGGGTTGGAGGCCAAGAACGAGTGCTCCATGGACTTCTGCAGCGCCACCATCTCCTGCGAGTCCATCTCCAGCCCGTTCTTCTTGGCCAGCGCGGTCCAGAAGCTCGTCGAGGACATTTCACTCTGGAAGCGCTCGCGCATCTCCATGATGATGCGGTTCATCTCGTCGTCGCGCCAGTTGGCCTTCTCCTCGCGCATGCGCGCTTCGATGGCCTGCGAGATGCGCGCCTCCTCCTGCTTCTTCAGGCGGCGCAGGATCTTCTCCTCGATGCGCTTCTCCACATCCGCGTCGAGGCTCACGCTCACCTTGCGCTAATGGTAATAAAACCAAGTAAAAAACCACGCGTGAGTCAAAGAGCGCTGCAAAGAAATCTACAGAAAAGCGCTGCTAATAAAACCCCGTACCGAGAGCGTGCTGGCCGAGGACTCGACGCTGCGCGAGCTGTTGACGCGGCGGGACTTGCTCCTGCCCTTCTTCTTGCCCTTCTTCTTCTTCTTGGGCTTCTCCTCCTCCTCCTCCTCCTCTTCTTCCTCGTCCTCGTCCGAGTCCGTCTCGTACTCGGCGCTCGAGTCCGTCTCGTACTCGTCCGAGTCGTCCGAGTCCGACTCGGCTGCAGCAGCACCAGCAACAATAAAACAGGTTAGAGAGAGGGAGGGTAAGCGCAAAGGTCAGGAAGAGAGGGACCTACACTCCGAGTCGTTGAACTTGGAGCAGCGCAAGTTCCGACAGCGCAGACGATGCGCCGACGCGTGGTGCATGTTGCATTCCTAATCGGGGGGACGCAAGGCAAAGGCACACAAGTAGCGTCAGTCAATCTCTCTCGTTCTACGCTGTTCCTTCGACGCGTCCTCCCGCGGCCTACCCGAGAGCAGTAGAACACTTCTCCGCAGCCGCTCATGCACGGGATCTTGGCGCCCTCGGCGCCGCAATTGCCGCACGGCTCCATGCTCTGCAGCGCCATCAGCAGATCGTCGTCATCGTCGTCGTCGTAGTTGTTCTTGGGCATGGTGGGCCGCTTCTGCGTGCGCGCGCGAGTGTGCGTGTGCGGCTTCGGCTGCTACTCGGGCCTACGCTACTGCTGCTGCTGCTGCTCTTGCTTGCGCCCGAGCCCCCCGGAGCGCGCACTTCCCGCAGTAATCGAGTCTTTCTCCGTGCGGCGGATTTACCTCTGGCTGGCGGGTCTTCTTCGCCGACACTTGGCGTTTGTATGCGGAGTGGATACTTAAGCGGGAGCTGTCCGCACGCCAGATAAACTTAAACGGGCATCGGTTGTTCGATCGACGACTGTGGAACTCGATACCACTGTGCTTGGGAATTTCCGAGAAAAAATTCGATAGTCCAGTTTTTTGCCTCTTTTAATAAAGAAAAAAATTACCCCAAAACCTACGAGAACGCATAAATAAAAACTGGATATTTTCCGCCTGGTGTTTTTGCTTGCAGATCCCGGATTTGGGCGTAGCCATGACATGGCTACGTTGTGCAGCCGCCGCCGAGTTACGGTCATGCTCATGCTCACTTTCCTACTGCAGTCAAGCCAGTCACCAGTCGAGCGCTCGCCGCCCCACATCCAGCTGTTTCGCTGTTTTGACGGACGCTGCACTTCGCTCTTCCAGCGCTATTAAGCGGCGCCACAATCGCCGCGACGATTTACGCTTTGGGGAGTCGGCAGTGGTCTCTCCGAGACACTCGCCGGACGACACCACGCATTACACGTAGCTCCATGAGGGTTGTGACAGGGGACCACTGCCCGAAAGCCCACGATTGCACGGCGCCATGCGCTGGCGTGGGTCGCCGACAGTGGCCGCTTTGCTAGAGAGCGCCGTGTTGCAAAATTCAGAAATGCTCGTCCCCGGGTCTCTGCACGACGGTCTCTCCTTCGTCGAAGGGATGTGTGAGCGGAGGAGACCGCGACCACCAAGCGCCACCGCCCGCAGCTCGACCGTCGAGCCACCGCTCGTACGTGGCCGCGACGTAGTGACGTGGCGCTAATGACCCGCGAGGCTTGCTTATCTTATCGCGGTTACCTAACTCGCCCGTCGGCGCTGGCCGCAAACTTGGGGGCACTTGCCCCTCCCTCCATCTTCCACCCTCACCTTCCTCCGTCCACCCTCCGCGAATCTGAAGCAAGTCTCACGTGACACCAACACTCCGTATACTGGCCCGAGTTGCCTTTCGAGCCGGTGTGGCCGGCGACAACGGGTGGGCTCGCCACGCTCGCCACGCACTAGGCCCACCGGCAAATAAGCCGTCGGCGCCGCCACCACACATTCTCGCTCGCGGCCTGGAACGCAATGCCGATGCCCGCCCTCGGAAGAGACGTCCAGCGCTGCGTCCGGACCAGTGCATCGTCGAATGCTGCAATGATGCAGATCAGGTTGCCCATTTCGAGGAAAATGGGCTCGTCGGAAAGGGCATGTAAAGGTATCATCACGCCGGCCAGGATCCTCGAGCGGATACTTTCCATGCCGCAGACCAGTGCACTGCAGCCCTGTAGACTGCGGAAGACCGTAATGCGCTATCAATACGTAGTACGTTCATGTACGCAGTGCTGCCCAGTCATATTGGTGACTAGCTTCCGCGGTGGGCTGCGTGGCAAGGTGGACGGTGGATGCACCAGTTGACATCGACTTTACGAAGGGCTTGTTGACCACCGAAAACGCGAAGCTCGCTCGCTATACTGCCGTGTTGTGTGGCTAGGACAGTCATTGCGGTGCTGGAGCTCGCTCAGCGAGTCGCTCGAAACTCGAGGTGCTGCTGCATCACAGTGACTGGCGCGCTCCCGCGGCCGAGCTCGTGGGTGGTTCGTCCATACGCCGTTCGCTGCTCATTTGTTGACTTGCGCACACAGCGGGTGGGTCGTGATTCACGATCGCCACGTTCACGAGTCGTGAACGTGGCGATCGTAGCATCTGCGACTTGAGAATGGGTCGGATACTTTGCCCATTTCGCTTATATGCGCGTTCCTTTTTTCCCGAAATTTTGTATAGAGCTCGACTCAGCTGGCTCGCTCGCAGCAACTCAGGCTCGGGCCCAAACAGATCTTTTCCCCCTGGGCCAATCCTCAATCCGCGCAGTCCGCAGCAGCTCTTCCTCCTTCCTTCCTCCCCCTACGATGGCCGGCGCGAGCCCCAAGAAGAACGGCTCCGCGCCGCAGACGCCCAAGCAGTCGCCGCCGCGCGCGTCGCCGTCTCCGTCGCCCTCGCGCGGGCCGGACGACGTGGACGCGGACGAGCTGACGGCGCTCATCAAGGCCATCAAGTTCGCGCACCCGGAGTTCGGCGTCAAGCGCGTGCACGACCAGGTGGCCACGCACGGCGGCAAGTTCGCGCGCGTGCCCTTCAAGCGCGTCAAGCGCTACATGCACAAGCTGGGCATGAACTCGCCCTCGGACGAGGACGACAAGACGCCCGTGAAGCTCATGACGGTGGGCGGCGACTCCAAGTCGCTGCGCGAGGGCGGCCCCGAGGCCGCGGACGCCGCCGACGACAGCGTGTGGCTGCCCGTCAAGCTGGACGAGCCCGCGTCCAAGCTGCAGGAGTTCCCGTACCAGGCGGTCATCCGCATGACCACCAGCGAGGAGGGCGACGCCGAGGGCTCGCTCGGCGAGATCTACAAGATCCAGGTGGCCATGGAGGCCGACGGCTCGCTCAGCACCATCCACCCCATGCTCGTGTACAACAAGCCGCGCACGCGCAAGACGTTCCTGCACCCGGACTCGCCCGCGTACCTGCCCGTGCAGCGCCTGGTGACCGCCCAGGGCCAGAAGGGGTCGGTGGGCGGCTCCAAGGCCTACTTCTGGGGCCGCTACTTCAAGATCGAAGACATGTTGTACATCAACACGGAGAAGATCGCGCCTGCCCAGCAGTGGTAGAGCGGCGACTCATTCGACCTTCTGCCGCAGCGGGACGGGCTGTAGATTAGTATCCTGTCTGCAAGGCGCGGCAGCAGGTGTGGCGGTGTGGAATGAATGGTGGAGATGAAGTGAAGACACGAAGGCAAGGAGAAGGAAGACGTCGGTCGGCGGGAGGCGGGACACAGTGGCGACACAGAGGCAAGCTCGTTGACGTCCGTGACTGGTGTGCACTTGGCGGTTCGCCAATTATATTGATTTTCATTTTGCATGTGTGCATGGCCTGCATATTGTTTTGGCGGTAGACGATGGAAGTTGCGTTTAGATGTCGAGGCGCCGAGCCTGCCTGCGTCTGTGTCGCTGTCGACTGCCTCCCTCCCCACCCGTTCCTGCTTCCCGTCCGGAGTGTCGGCGATGGAGTTGGTGTCGTGCCGTCCTGCATGCGGAGTTGTGATGGCTGTCGCGTTGCCCGTTCCCTGTTATCCATTGAAGAAATGTGGAGTGAAGACCAGCAAGGTGAAGACAAGGAGAAGAAGAGGAAGCAGCGCTGGAAAATCGAGCAAGAAATGGCAAAGCAAAGTAAAAAATGTCGCCCCCAATTAACGAAAAAAGAAAACAAAGAATCACATTGAAGCAACACAGCACCTGTCACTCGCTCGTTCGCGGCGTTGATGCTGCCTGCCTCGTTGCTCGAAGCAAGTTGTCACTGGGACGGTCTATGCTGCTTGTCGACTAAGTGAGCGAACCTCTCTATGTCTACACCTCTTCATGCTCGCACTTCACGTTGCCCCAGTGTTGATGGTGCGTGGTAGGTTCCGTTCGTAAACTTGTTCAGCGGGGTCTTACCGCTTCGACGGCACTCCCGTGCCAAAGAGACCACCTTTGTCGTCACTGTCGCTCTCACTTTCACTGCTGCTGCTCACAGCTCCGCTGAAGAGCGAACTGTAAGGCGACGGCGGAATGGCAGCCTGAGGCGCGGCTTGCACAAACCCAGGGGCTGGTGCAGCCGTAGTGGAGGCGCCTCCAAACAGGCTGCCGCTAACAGCGTCCGGGGCTTGATGAAGCTCTGGGGTCGCCGGCGACGGCGTCACTAAGACCGGAGCTGGAGCTGGGGCAGCAGCCGCAGGCTTGGGGGCCGAAGCTTGCGCGCCGAAAAGCGACTGGTTGCCGCCATCATCATCGCTCCAGTCACTCTCGCTGGAATCGTCGTCGTCCGCAGCCGCTGCCGCAGCAGCAGCACCGAACAGGTACGAGCCCGACGTTGCTGCAGGAGCTGGCGTAGCTGCTACGGGGGTTGGTGCAGGCGCAAATACGGGCGCAGGGGTCGGTGCGGGCGTCGGTGCGGCCGCAAATACGGGAGTAGCAGTCGGCGCAGGCGTCGGTGCAGGCGTAACCAAAGCTGGCTCAACAGCGGGCGATGGAGTGGGGGCTGCAGGTGAAGGCTTTGGCTCCGGGGATGCAACCTCCACAGGTGCATATACATGAGCCGGAGATGGAGAGGGCGCACGTTCCGGCACTGGAGCAGGAGCAGGTGTGAACACTGGTGCAGGATTTGGCTTGGGGGCTTTCACTGGCGCAGCAGGAGGAGGTGATACAGGCTTCGGGGCTGGCTCTGAGACTGGAGCCCCAAAGAGCGACGAAGCCGACGTGGGCGACGGAGTGGACGAGGCAGCAGGCTTCGGCTTGTCGTCCAGACTGAGTTCATCCATGGAGAAGTTCGCCATCAATGCACTAGGGAATCCTGCAGGGGCGAATGAATGCTGCTCGGGGCTGTCGTACTTCGGCGCGTACGGATCGTCATCCTGAAGCACGTAAGGTTTCATCGCCGGCATTAGTTCGGGCTCCGGCAGATTCTGCAATGTCGCTGCGGCAACAGGAGCAGGAGCTGGTGCTGCCACAGGCGCCTGAACTGGGGTCGGTGCTGAAGTGTAAGCGGGTGTCGGAGCTGGAGTATAAGCCGGTGCCGGGACCGGGCTTGTGAACAAACTTGCAGCAACAGGAGCCGGTTCCGGCGTCGATGCCACTGCCGGAGCCGCCGGAGCTTTCGGTTCGATGACCTCAGCAGGTGCCGGAGCGGCGACAGCCGCGGGGTGAACTGCGGGGGCTGCAGTAGGCTCGACGTTGTCAATAATTGGAGCCGCCATAGTCTACAGTACACAATACCAATCAACAACTGAGTACGCAGTTTACATCCTCGAAAACGCGCAGAATGACCTTACCGGAATCCGGAAAGCTCCCGGCGGGGGTCGCGTAGGTCCACGGCGCTTGGGTCCAGCCACACGGTTCATCGTGGCCTGTTCAAAGTATCACAACAAAAAACAATTCGTCAATCAACAATTCCCCACTTCAAACTCCACTTCAACCATGCACCAACTCACATGAGAGTCATCCAGAGCAGCAGCAGGTGCTTCCGCGCCCTTCTCTCCTTCCGGAACCATGCCCGGGAGTCGGAATCCACCCTTGGCCAGTCCTGGCATTGGGATGGCCGACCCCGTCATGCCAGGCATTGCAACGCCCATGGCATGCTGCGTGTGTCCGTACTGCTCTTCTCCCGTGCTCATAATGGACTCCCGCTGGGAGCTCGTGTACCCTCCAGCAGCAGCTCGCCCCGGACGTCCAAAGGGGTTCACATTGATCCCCAGACTGCCCTGCAGCTGCTGGATCTTGCTGGACGCGCGCCGAATCCCCGCCGCTTCCTGGGCAGCAGCCACCGCCGACGTGTCAATCGGCTCGGAGGCTGCAGACGCGTCGCTCGTGCTGCCGACGCTGCTGCTGCTCGCCTGCAGCTGCTCCGACGGCTCCGACGCTGGCGCCGGGTGGTTGAACCGCGGCACGGGAGGCGCAGAGGCCGCCGCCCCCGCAGCGCTGGCAGCCGCGCTCTGCTCTTTGAGACGGGCAATGCGCTCGGCGATGGAGCTCCTGGCGGCCGCCGGGACCGTCTCCGGCGCCGGGGCGGCGCTGCGCTCCACCGCGGGGGTCGGAGGCTCGCTCTCCCCGCCGGCCTTGGCGCGGCGCCGAGCCAGGATCGCCGCCAGTTCGTTCGTCGCCATGCTCGTCTCGTCCCCTTGTTGCGCTGGACTTGAATTTGGCTTTGAGCGTGTCGCGGATACGGAATCGGATTAGGCCATGATTTTATTCCTGTCTGGAGGGGGTTAAGAATGAAAGTGAGCGAAAAATCGCTATGATGGCGGGTCTGGATAAGAATAGTGCTTGTGTACCTTGGGACTTCAACGACATGAAGCATGATGGGCATCAATTAGCGAAGCGTGCAATACGGCGACTCCATTCCAAGATGGAGGGAGGGAGGAAGTTACTTCTTCATATGTGTATTGACTCGTAGGGAGTCCCGTGACTGCCGTTATCCTATCCGGAAAGTGTGGAGTGAGTAGTTTGCCTCCACTTCCGCCTTCTAAAGCCGCATGGGGCCCTGACTGACTTGAACTACATACCGCGTAGAGCCTCCCCCTCAATAACGCCGCGTCCGCCGAAGCTTGCGCAGCTCGTCGCAGGGGGGCATCTTCATCTCCAATGCCTTACGCATGGCGGCTTCACGGTCATCACTGCGAGAGTTGCGCGCGCGGTAGATCATCCGCTTCTGACGTAGCTTGAGGTTCTCGCAGCTCTCGGAGAGTTTTGACACGTGAGCCTGCTCCACCATTTGCTCCACTCGAGAGAGATCGCGCCAGTGGGTCGTGTATCGCTGCTCAAAATCGCGCTCCACGTAGTACGGAATACCCTTCACCACGTTGGCCATCTGCGTCGCGCGCTGCACGTTGAACTGCGGCGTCGGGCTTAAGCTGAACGGCATCTCGGGGGTCGACGGGATGGAGAGCAGCGACATCAGGAAGATCAGCAGCAGCGGCAGGAACTGGGCCAGATTTGACATGCCACCGCGCTGCTCCTGTTGCTGTTGTCGGTGCCCTTGCTGCTGCGGCCGGCGTCCGCGCGGGCGGAAGCCGCCGCCGAAGAACATGTTGAAAATCTCCTCCGGAGTGATGTCGTCCTCCTGGGCGTATCTGCGTCCCTGCTGTTGCTGTTGCACGGGCGCATCGTCACCATAGCGGTCATAATGCGCGCGCTTGTCGGGGTCACTCAACACCGCGAACGCCTTGCCAACAGCCTTGAACGCATCCTCCGCTCCCGGCGCGCTGTTTTTGTCCGGATGCAGCTTCAGCGCCAACTAAACACAGCACCACCACATCGACAGTCAGTCACCCAGCCAATACCAAGCACACTTAAACATCTCTCCTCTCTCCTCACCTTGCGGTAGGCCTTCTTGACCTCGTTGTCCGTCGCCGTTTGCTGCACCGCGAGCACCTCGTAGTGGTTCTTGCAGGCCTTGATCTTGCGCACCATCTGCAGCTGCTCGGCCGTATACGGCCGCGAAGGCTCCGAGGACGGAGACCTCGAGGGCGATGCAGCTGGAGCCGCTCGGTGCCGCACGCCGCCGGCACTGGAAGCGCCGCCACGTGGCGACGAGGGCTGCGCGCTGGGGGTCGAGGCCTTGGCCAGCTCCGCCTTGGCCCTGTCACGCATGGCCTCCACGCCAGGCAGCGGGTACATGCGGTGCGACTTGTCGAAGAACTTGATGGCCTTCTCCCAGTTGCCGGTGCGCAGGTGCCTCTTGCCGATCTCGAGGCATTTCTCGGCCTCCCCCCTGTTCATCTCCATGGCGGCAGTCGGTCTGCTCTCGAGCTCGTCCTGGGGCGAGTACTGCGGCTACGGAGGTGGAAATTGCTCGACTATACGCGCGAGACGCAGAGCTAAACGGACGTGCCACGCGCGCTTCGGCTCGATGACTGGGGAAGGCGGACGAGGCAGGGGAGCGAGCACCGAGGACCGCGGCGATCGCGGCGATGTCGTCAGCCAAAGTGAGGGACCTGACGGAGACCGCATATAGGTTGTTAGAGGTTTGGTGCATTCGATTATTCAGTATCTTAGGTATACGATATCGTGAGGTGAGCCCATTTATTTGGGGGCTTTGCCGAAAAAAAAGTCCAACGAGGACTGTTTTGGGCCCGGCGACTTCAACTTGCTTGTCTTGGCTGGAGGAGTCTGCTTCTTGGGTCCTTTGGCTGGGGACGACACGCGACGACGCTTCTTGGGCGATTGCGGAGGTGGGGAGCCTTGGTCTTCATCGTCGAAGCGCTTGGTGAGAAGCGACGAGGCCGGGACGAACTTCGCTGGGAATTGTTTGAACTCTTTCTTCGGCGTGGTCTCCGGCTTGAGGTCGTGTTCGTCCTCTGTCTTGACCGGAGGACTGCTGGTCTCGCTGATAGGAAAGTCGTTCTCTTCTTTAACTTGTGTTGTGGGAGTCTTCGGCGACTCAATCTGCTGCGACTCTGGCTTTTCTGTCTTGACTCCGAAGAACGACTTGATGTTGCCTAAAGAATAGCATCAGCAAGTGTTGATGAGTTTCGAGCTGAAGACACTCCCACAATTAAAATGATACTTGCCTGCATGCTTAATGTTGATCTTCTTGGCGCAGTCTTCGCTCTGGAACTGCATCGACCCGACTGCAATTCAAACCATTGGATTCGGTGGCGTCGTTAGCCCAATGACGATTAAACCCCAGTGTAGCTGTAAGCAATCTCGCTGCAACCTACCTTTTTTGTCGACTGGGTACCATTTGAGATCGTCGGATTGATACGAAGCTAGCAGGTCTTTCAGTTCCTCAAACTTTGCGCCAGAGAGCCAGCGATCTACGCCTTCATCGGACAAAATGACCTGAAGCAAACGTGTCAGTTCCTGCAACAGAAAATTAGTTGTAAAAGCAGTCACGTCATTTTCCTACCGGCATGCGCGTGTGCAGCCACTTTAGCTCGGGAGCCACAGGCGTTGTAAGGATGGTGTAGGTGCACATCACCTCGCCATCTTCGCTCTTCCACTGATCAAAGAGGCCAGCAAACTGCAGGACAAAACATTTTCCGCTGTTAAATACTCTGAGCTAAGCCACCACGTCCTCATTAGCAAGCACTGACCTTCATCAGCTTGTCCTCGCGATAGAAGTAGTACGGCTGCTTTGCTCTCTTGTCCACTTGTTGCCATTCGTAGTACCTTCACCAAGCAGACCCACGCCATCAGAGTTCCACTATAGCAACGTCGGAAATGCCTCAGCATAATCTACCTACCCTTCACATAGCACCACACATCTCTTCGACTCTAACAATCGCTTGAACGCCGGTCGCTCCTGCAGATTCTCAGATCTGCTCAGCATACCAATAGTCAATTCCTCACCAACTCACTTGCGCCTGCTATAAAAATGACGAATCGCAGCCTACCTGGCATTGAACATGAGGAAGTGGTCTGGCTTCACATTTGGCTTGGTGAAGGACGGAACCAGCCCCCACTGCAATAACAGGAACCCCAATTAGCCCAAAGCTGTACTTAAATCAACAGAGCGGGACACGAACTGCCTGCCATACTCACCCGCATAGCCTGCAGCCGCGTCTTCGTCTTATGTTCACCTTCCACTTTCGTCCCACCCCGCTGCAAAAGGATAGGTCCGTATCTCCCAGGTCCCATATTCTCCACGGGGTTGTCTGCAGCCAAGTATTGTTCCAGTAGCGACCAAAGCGCACGAGACCCAACCAACGTTAGCTTTACATCGAGCCTCCTAGCCCAATTCCATCGAAACCAAATGCCGAGCAACGGGTCGTTGCATCTTTGTCGTCGTACATTTGCCGCCATCGACAAACTCCTCGGGCGCGACGCCCGCAGCCTCCGCCACCTGCTCGCGCGCCAACGTGCAGCGTGCCCGCCCACACATCAAAAAGCGTAATAGGTGAGCCCGTTGGTCCCGTATCATCTTTGACAGGTGTAGCTAATTCCTCATAGGTATACGTCGTTTCGCGAAGTACCAGTTAATGCAGCGGGTATGCAGCACCTCGGCGCTGCTGGTGTGAACAGGAAGCCTCGGACGCGAGTTTCAACTGGCTCAGCTGCATTGCCAGACGGATGGTTCCCCATTGAGCCGCAGACGCACAAGAACGGCAAAGCCCGAGGACGCCCCGGCCCCGATGCTCTCGGTATGGCCAACACTGTGGATCCGCTCACGTTTTTGGCTCAGAAGCCGAGCACTCGGTGGCCAAGTGAGCGTAACGTTAATGGCAGGAAACAGCAGCAGCATCCAAGACGACGGAGGCTTCGAGCATCGGGTGAGAGCGTTTTCCCAGTGGCTGAGGCCTTTTCTCCACAGAGATCTCTACGTCTCGCCAAGCTGCCGCTGCTGAAGACTAGGAGTCGACCTGAGGACGTAGAAGCTGGAGGACTGTCGAATCAGCTGTTTGCGGCGACCCCAGTGCTGATGAACTCGCCTCGGGAGACTGAACTTCCCTTGCACGAGCTGATTCAAACGATGGACGACGCAGTGAAGGCGGATCCTTCGGCTGAGTTGAACCAGTCTTCAATTGCTCGTTTGTTCATGAACCAATGGCTTCGACAGTTTGAAGCGGATCGACGCAGCTACAAATCTGTTGGTGGGTAATGCCTGATAGCTGGAGGGTGGAAGATCGTTATTGTTAATAAGCTCGTACTGATCGTTATCCTGTGTTTTAGCGGTCCGATACGAGGTAGGCTTTGAAGAGCTGCAGCGACGAACTGTCAACCTTCCACGGCCGAACGACCTTATCACAACCTTTTGCTGCAAAGTGCTTGGTAAGTTTGGTGAGGTTCTTTCTGTTGGGCTGGACTGGAGACACTCATTGTTGTTGTGTGATGTATGTTGGTTTCGAAGAGTAGAAGACCTCACGCCCCATTTTGGACCCTACGCGCCTCTATTCCGCGTACTAAGTGCAGAGTTGATTCAGTCCATCTACGCCCCCGATGGCCTCCCGTACTTTGCACTCGTCAAGCACCATAAACGACTTCTGCTAACGCTTCGCAAGGACAAGTACGTGAAAGTTCATCTATATCGAAAGCTACAGAAGAAAAAAAGCTCAGCGTGGATTCGTCGTTTATTATCTTTGCTCGTACCTGTAGAGAGTGGCGGGAAGAGCGGGATGGGGTTCTTGCTGATGATATCGGTAAGGTGTATTCCATGTTTCGGCGCTTTTTATCAGAGTGTACGTACGCTTTATCCCGGATGCTGTTTCGCGAGTGGCACTTCGTTGCCGTCATCCAAAAGAAGGTTCGTAGGCCCTGCACTATCATATCCTGTGAATTACTCTTATATTTTTTCTCATGGACATTGTACATGTAGAACAACAGAAAATACATCGCGTATTTCTCAAACTGGTTCAGCAACTCCCCCAAAGCCATTCTCGGGAAGGTGTTTGTGGCGTGGAAGCGTGAGGCTGCCATCCACAGGATCGAGAAAATCCGAAAGCAAATGCAGATTGACTTCCAGGCCCTAGCCGTCGTTAAACGGCAGGTAGATGACTTGACACGGCAGCGCGATACTGCGCAGGCCGACAACCTCTCGATGCGGAGTGATCGCAAACAAGCAGAAGAGTGGGCACGAACGCTAGAACTCCGAATTAAGGCCGCCAGCGCGTACTTGGATACAACTCGCCGTCGAGAGGCCCAAGTTTGTCAAGAAGGCCAGTTGCGTGTCGAGGCTGTAGCGTGTTTGCCACCTCTCATCCTTGAATCGCTGTTACGAGGTTATCATAGTGTTGGATTCTTGCAACAAGCACCAGCTCATGCTCAAGACAGCTCGTCTGGCTTAGTTGGTGATGCTGGTGACTCGAGCGCACAACCGGATTCAGTGGAAAAAGGATCGTCCTCGGTTCTTTTGGGGTGTGTTGATGAAATATCGCGGTTACGAGATATGTCACTACGACGAAAGTCATCCAGCTTGTCTCCAACTCGTGCTGGGAGATCCAACTCAGTAGTGCTTGGTACTACTGCTGGGAGGTCGAATTCGGTGGTTATGGGTACTGGATTGGTGGAAACTGAAGAACAACCGCCTTCTTTACAAGCAGCAGCGGTGGCAGCAGCTACGATGACGGGTAGTCCTACAGCTCGGCGGGCTGCAGCGGGGGCTGTGTCACAAGATGAACTCTCTGGACGAACATTTTCAAAATTCTTTACCTCGCTTCGTGAACGCATCCACGATCCTGACGCTAAAGTCCTCTTCACCCCGAGACTAGCCCACGAGTATCTGTTTGATAAGGACAAGCAGCTAAGCCTGCACGAGAATGCACAAGTGGCGCGAGAATTTGAACAGCTTTTGCGAGCAATCCGTGTACAAGATGAACATTACGCCAGCAACTCCAAGCTATTTAATTCACGGATGCTTGAGAGTCATGAAGTCTCCCTTGTGCCAAACCGCTCTCTGCCTAATCGAGCGCTCCAAGTGCCGGAAGGATCTGCTGGGTCCGATAAAGGTGATCTGGGTATTATCAACGGTGTCAAGCGCTTTTGGGTAGTTAGCGCCGCTGCAAGGAAGCCCAGAACCCCGTCGCGCGGTGCACAATTAAAACGTTCGCTTACACGAAAACAAACTGGTTTGGTGGTCAGGGAGCGTCCGCAGACACAACAAGTATCTTTACTCGAAAACCTCGAGCTATTTCGTGAGAGCGACTTCGATATCTCGCCACGCCATTCACGCGGATTCACGATATTGCTTCTGGCCCATATAGTAACGGAGTACGGGTCGTTGTTGTTTTCACCAGCAGATATGAGTGCGTTCACTCATAACGCCTACCTGCATCCAGCCAAATCGGAGCTTGTTCAAGCCTTAAGTTCTCAAGACCTCAACAAGGGCAAACCACGATCGTCACTGGCGCAGAGCTCGCTGGCCCTTGTCCCAGCAGATTCATCCTCGATGGTTATCGAGAGCGCAGCAAGTACCAGCAACTCGCTGCGAACCATTCTGCCGATTGTCACCGCGTACGAAACCTGGAATCAAATCTCCGAGCAACTCATTTCAGGAAATGTGGTTCAATCTCGCGGTATGACGCCGAACGTGGTGGTCGATCCGAACGAGGCTAGCAGCGCAGAATTGTTGAGAACACAAGGAGTTGCCCCGATCCGGCCAATGCTACGGCACCAGTTTGAACCGCTCTCACACAGTTTGTTCCTCGCGCCTGCGAGAGACAAATCGAGTCGAAGAACGAGTATCACTACCGGGGACGGGAATACGTATCATACAGCTCGGATTCGCCACCTCACTGCCGAAGGACCCGATAGACTTATCAAATGTATTGAGGCCATCCACGCATGTGTGAAAAGCACGTCCGCCAAGATGAAAGACTTCAAAGTCACTCATCAGCAACTTCGAGAGTTGCGGGTTACTCAGTGGCAGACAGCGAGCGAGCTTGCTTCTCAGTTCGCGGCAAAGCAGAGTGAAACACTGGTACCAACGGGGACTATCGGCCTGGTGGACCATCGCGAGCACGTGTACGAGTGCATTTCGCTCACAAACAACACAATGCGTCGAATATTCAGCGTCGAGGAAAACCCCGACGTCGAGCTGACACGGGTGCGCGCTGTCCTCGAGAAACACCATCGGGTTATACGGCAGCTGTACACACCGTTCCGCGCCATCATCAAGCATGCCATGAGCCTCGATGATCTGTGGCACATTGTCAAGATACTTCGTCTACCTCGCGAGATTCACGTGCTACCGATTCTTCGAGACGAAGAGATGGTGGCCAACGGCTACGAGCAACTCTTCTCCCCTGAGGACCTGGCAGAACTCGTCCTTCAACTATGCAATGAGCAGTTCCAATCCCAGATCGCTCCGTTGAGCGCGCGGGTCGAGTACTTCATCACTCACCACCTGACGATCGCAGCCCAGAACCGAAGCCTCATTCGGACGCTCATGCACCGCCCGGATGTGAAGCTCGCGATTGGGAGCCACTCACAGACTATTCGCATCGTCTTCCGCCGATACTGCGCCAAGGAGCGCGAGATGATGACACCCGCCAACGGCCCGACCAAGGTGAAGCCTCGGCATACTGCACCAGGGATCACCAAGTACATGCGCATGGTAGACTGGCAGGCGTTTGTCCAGGAGTATCGCCTGGTCCGCGCTCGCTTTTCAATGGATCAGGCGATGAATGTCTTCCGCAACGTTCAAGAGGCCCCCCCAGGAAGTGACGATCACCTCGAGTTGATATACAGCGAATTCTGTGAGGCGCTTGTGGGCATGGCGATGTTTTACTTCCCAGACCCGTTCCTGAAGACCGCCACCAAAGTCACGCAGTTTCTCCGTCGGTACCTGCCATTGACACCCGAAGAAGACCATGCCTAAGTACATGTAGTGAGCAGCCCTAACAGCACAACGCCTTGAAGCTCACAGTGTCGAATACTTGTTGTTAGATTTGTTTTCCTTGAGAGGGTGAACTGCGTGCCGTTCACTCTCGGGGCGACGCAGAAGTTACAGCTAAAGAGCACGAGAATGGACTCGGGACGCGGTGTGTGCTGGATGCAACCGCACAACAACCGCTTGAGCGTGCAGTGATTGGTGCCAGCAAAGCTAGCACACGCCGTGCGTCGTGAGACCCGACTGCTGGTGCTTGAGGTTGGCCTGGAGCGCGTGCACAATGTCCTTGAAGTGCTTCTTCTGCGCCTTGGGTGACGACATGGCGGTGTCCACGAGAACGTGGTGCTGCTCCAGCGCTTCAATAGCCTTTAGGATGTCCTGAACCAGCATGTTGGCCATGTGCGACGAGAAGTTCTGCTTCACCACCACGCGCATGATCGTCAGCGACTCGGCACCGCTGGAGCACGTGTAGGCAGGTACAATCCAGCCGCGGCTCTTGAGCTTGTCCTGGATGTCGAAGCACGTGTAGCGCGACGAGTCAATCAGCGCGAAGGCCACGAGCGGCATGTGCTGCTTGTCAACGATGCGGAAGTGGCCCGTGGCCACCAGCGCTCCACGCAGTAGCTGCGCGTTCTCCATACTGGCCTCCATGATGCGACGGTATCCCTCGAAGCCGAAGCGCAGCATGTTGTAGTACTGGGCCACCACGTTGCCCGCGCCCTTGGAGAAGTTGAGCGTGAAGGACGACTGGTCTCCGCCCAGGTAGTTGACGTGGAACACCAGGTCGTCTGGGAGGTCCTCGGGCTCGCGCCACAGGGCCCAGCCCATGCCGGCGTACACGAGGCCGAACTTGTGGCCGCTCACGTTGATGCTCTTGACGTTGGGCAGACGGAAGTCCCACTCCAGCTCGGGGCTGATGAACGGCGCGATGAACCCGCCGCTGGCCGCGTCCACGTGCAGCGGGATGTTCCATCCGTTGCGCTCGTTCTCCTCCACGAGCATGTCGTGGATGCTCTTGACGTCCTCGTACTCGCCGTTGAAGGTGCTGCCCAGGATGGCGCTGACGCCGATCGTGTTCTCGTCGATGAGGGCGCGCGCGCGCTTGGCCGTGAGCACGAGGCAGTCCGGGGACACGTCGGCCTCACGGATCTCGATCTCGAAGTACTTGCACATCTTATGCCAGCAGACCTGCACGTTCGAGCCGAAGACCATGTTGGGCTTGTCGTACGGCAGGCCCGCGGCGATGCGGCGGTCCTTCCAGCGGCGCTTCATGGCCAGGCCGGCCAGCATGATGGCCTCGGACGAGCCGATGCAGCCCGTGCCCGTGGCCTTCTGGCCGGGCTCCAGCGGCGCGTGGTACAGGTTGGCCAGCATCGTGACGCAGCGGTTGTGGATCTCGGCCGTCTGCGGGTACTGGTCCAGGTCGATGTAGTTCTTGCGCAGGCCCTCGACCATCAGGTCCTCGGCCTCGGGCTCCATGTACGTGGTCACGAAGGACGCCAGGTTCATCTTGGGGTTGCCGTCCAGCGCCAGCTCGTCCTTGATGAGCTGGTGCGCCACGCGCGCGGGCACCGAGCGCTGCGGGAACACGTCGGACGGCAGGCTGGCGCACATGAGCGGGTGGCCGTACACGGCCTCCGTCTCCAGCGGCAGGTCGCCAGCGTCGCCCGAGTACTTGCGCGTGTTCACTTGCATCGTTGTGTGTGTGGTGTGCGGTGGTGTGGTAGTTGAGCGGAAGCCGGCAATTTCGTGAGTGAGGTGGCTGCTCCCCCCGATCTTTTTGCTTCAACCAACGTCAGCGTCGAACCTAGCGGAGAGCATACAAATTTCAAGTGGAATGTCGCGCTCCCCAACTCAGGCAGGGTGCACGAGAATTCACATGAGACTCTCGTGCTCTCTGATCATCGAGGCGAGGATTCCATGCATGGACACTTTATGCCGGTGGGAAGCAAATGCTGCAAATTTACCCACGCAAATCAGTTCAATAAGATAACTCGGCAGATGATGGCACGCGTCCAATAATCCTGGGCCAGGAAGGATATGCCTGCAGCTGTGTGTGAGGAGCGAAGCCAGCTCGATGATCACCACCGACGATCAAGAGCGACGTACAAAATGCACAAAATCCAATTTCTATTGCTCTGGCGCCGGCCAGCTGCGCCGCGGCGCTCCTTTCCAATGTGGCTGCTCTAGTTGCTGCTGCTTGCATTCCTGATTTTTTCTTGCACCTCGTCCTGCATGGCGGAAAAAACACAAACACAAGCGATATGATATGGGTCCGGTCAGTACATGCACACGCTCATTCTAGGGAGACACGCCGGGCGAGGCGCAATCAATCAGCGCGTACCTGCAGACGGGAGAAGAACTCCTTCGAGTTCGAGAACTGCTTGGACGAGCCCTCGATCTGCTTGCCCGTGGTGATGTTCTTGGCGCCGGCGATGCTCTCCAGCATCTTCTTCTTCTCGTACTTGTTGCCCAGGCCCGGGTTGAGCTTGGCCACCAGCCGCTCGTCGAACTCGCGCTGGCGCTTCTCCTTCCGCCGCGCGTGCTTCTTGGCGTTGCGCAGCGCCTTGCGCTCGCTCTGGGTCATCTCCTCCTTGGACTGCAGCACGGCCTCGCCGCGCTTGCGCTTCTTGTCGTACACCTCCTCGGGCGCCTTGAGGTTCGCGTCGCTCACGCTGATCGGCACCACCTCCTCCATGGCGATGGCAGGCACCGCCGGCTTGACCTGCAGCTCCTTGACGGCGGGCTTGGGCGTGAAGTGGTAGTTCGACAGCGCGTCCAGCTTCCAGCACAGGCTCTTGAACATGACCTCGATCTCCTCCTGGTCCTGCTTGGACTCGTCGTCGGCCTCGAAGCCCATGGCCGTCTTCATGTACTCCTTCTCGTAGATCTCTCCCAGACCCTCCTTGGACTTCTCCATGGACACTTCCTCCAGCTTGTTCTTCTCATCCTGCTCGTTACCGGCGAACTTACGAATCACATCGTCAAAGTCGTCCTCCAGGATACGCTTCTTGATCATTTCCTCAAGCGCGATAGACACTTCCTCCGTGATCACGGGAGCCGCCTTCACTGGCCTGTCGTAGTCCAGCACCGCCTCTAGCAAACTGTTCTCCGGACGAGCCGCAGAGCGCACTTCACCCTTCAGCAGCCACGGCTTCTCGCTGATCGCCTCCTGCTCGAGCTCCTTGATCTCCTTCTGCAGACGCAGACGCTGGCGCTGGTGCGACGACATGATGCCGCGCTCGGCAAGATCCTCCTCGTCGACGTTCTCCTCGTCCGGCTTCGCGCGCTTAATAGTAGGGTATTCCTCCTCGTCATTATCGCTGTCCTTCATCTCAACGTCATTAAGTTCCTCTTCCTCCTCTTCGTCGTCGTCGCCCTCTTCGCCTTCCTCTCCATCCTCGTCGCCAAAGAAATCGTCGTACTTCATGTCCTCCGCGCCTTCCGCATCCGATCCCTCCTCCATCTCGTCGTCGTCGTCATCGTCACCATCGTCATCATCGTCGCCCTCGTCGTCGTCTCCCTCCATCTCGTCGTCGTCTTCATCCTCCTCCTCTTCCTCGGCCGCCTTGTCCATCTCATCCCAGTCGAAGAAACCGTCCTCCGCGACATCACGCGCCTTCTTTGTCTTCTTCTTCTTGGCCTTCGTCTTCACTTCCTTCTCCTCGTCCGACTCGGTCTTCTCGTCGTCGTCGTCATCGCTGTCCTGCTCCTCGTCACTGTCAGCGTCGCTGTCCTCCTGATCCTCCTCCAGCTTGTCCTCCTCCTCTTCGCTCTCCTCCTGCTTCTCGGACGGGAACAGCAGGATGTTCTCGGGCTTCTTGCTGAACGTGCGGATGCGCTGCGCCATCTCCGTCACCAGCGGGCCGTTCAGCAGGCGGAGCTGCTCCCAGATCTGGTCGGCGTCGAAGCCGTCCACGTACAGCTCCTCCAGAGGCGCGGCGCTGCCGCTCTTGCTCTGGTATTTGGACGTGCGGTCGAACGCATGCTTGGCGAAGGCCTTCACGTTCTTGGCGACCTCCTCCGACGGCGTGAAGAACACCTGCCAATACACAGTCAGTCAGCCAGCAAGCTCTACACACACGCTGTACACACTATGCGTTGACGCACCTCGGGCTGCTGCACCACCTTCTCGCGGAAGCTGGCGATCACGGACGCGTCCATGCTGTCTAGATGCTCCTCTGGCGTCCAATAGAGTTGCTACCCTTTCGTGATCCAGTCAAAAGCAGAGCCCACTATTTGGGGCAGTACAGTACCTGTGGTGTGGCACACATGAAACTAAAATTGGGTAGTGATTGGGATGGGAAAAAGGCAACTTGCCTTTTTTGGGCAAGTTGCAGTCGGCAGCACCAACACACGAATTGCTGCAGGCTACGTTACCGTCACACCACGCCGTACATGCAATCATACAAAGGGAATCACGTCGATTTCATATACCAGATTGTGCAGCCGCTTGTACGTTGCCGCTGCGTCTACACGGCCAGCAGCCTGCCATCGTTCTGACTGTCTGTAAGTCGAACCACCTCACTTGGCTTTCCGCGCCTTCTTCTTGGCCTTGGCCTCGTCCTCGTCGCTTGAGACTCCGTCGCGCGGGATGTCGGCCCAGCCGTTGGCCGGCAAGTCGGCGACCTTGCGCGCGTGGCGCTTGATGTACTTGTTCATGGAAAACATCGTGAACGAGTCGCGTTGAAATACCTGTCGCATCCTATCGTCCAGCAGGATCGTGCGCTTGTCCTGCGGGTCCTGCAGGTTGTGTTCGTGGATGTAGGCCCAGAGCGCCTTGACGATCTCGGGCCGCGCCATCCGGTCCCTACCGAGCAGCGAGGCCAGCTCGGGCGACACCGCGAGCTCCGTGTAGAACGGGTTGGCCTTCTTCTTGCCGTCGTCGTCTCCGTCCTCGGTCGACGCGGCCTTCTTCTTCCTCTTGGCCGGTTGCTTCTTCTTCGCAGGCTTGGCCTCCGTGTCCTCGTCACTGGACACGCCGTCGCGCGGGATCTGACTCCAGCCCCCAGGCGGCATATCGTCAGGCTTGCGCACGTGGCGCTTGACGAACTTGTTCATGCTGAACATGGTGAACGAGTCCCGCTGGAACACACCGCGCAGCGTGTCGTCCAGGAGGATGAGCTTCTTGTTCTTGGGGTCCTGCAGGTTGTGCTCGCGGATGTAGGCCCAGAGCGCCTTGACGACCTGCGGCCGGGCCATGGTCTCGGCTCCGACGACCTGCGCGAGCTCTGGCGACAGGCACAGCTGCGCATTGAAGCCTCCGCCGGCCTTCTTGGCGCCGCCGTCCTCTCCGTCGGCCTTCCGCTTGCGCTTCTTGGGTGCCGCCGCCTTCTTCTTGGGTGCCGCCTTCTTGCGGGGCGAGCGCACGTGCTCCTGCTCGTCGTCGGCGTCGTCGTCACTCGGGTCGGGCTCCTCCTCCTCCTGCTCGTCGTCCTCCTCGTCGGCCTGCTGCTGCTCGATGATCTCGAGGATCGTGGCGTTGATCACGTCCTTGTAGCTCGACAGGTCGGCGTGGAACTGGGCCTCCAGCTGCTTGCGGATCATGCGGCGCGAGAGCTGCTCCAGGTCCGCGTCCTTCAGGATGAGGCGGATGGCCTCCGCGAGCTGCGCCACGTCCACAGCGGGCGCCATGGGCTCCTGGCCCAGGCCCGACAGGTCCAGTCCGAGCCCCATGCCGTCGCTCATGGTGGTGGAGACACAAGTTGACTGCGAGTTTGTATGGGACGCGCCGCTATCAGACGTGCGCCCCCTGTGCCATTCAACTTGCAACCGTTGCCACTTGAGGGGGTGTTCTCGCTGAACATCTTGTTGCAGTTGTAGCCATCTTGTCGTGGCATTGTGGGGCGACGTCCAGCATTGCAGGCGAAAGGTGTCAATGTCTGCCTGCGCTCTGCGTTCTTCGCCCTATCGAGTTGCTATGAATTATGGGTACGTGTTGATAGAAGAGTGGAATGCTGGCCACTTCAGTATGAGCACGCGGTAACCGCAACTTTCTCGGACAAGCATTGCCGAGCTTAGTACTGACCTGACCTGACACGCCACGTTTCACTGCTTTCGTATCGAAGCTCTCCATTCCAGTCAAATGATCTCCTGCTATGGAGTATAGCACTGTGCTAGTGCTGTCATCGTCACACGTCGCAGGGATAACTGCTGCCATTTTTGAGCAGCAGTTGCCGTTGAAGTGGTCCCGGAATAGCTCGGCGACTGGTAATAATCGGCGGCGCGCAAATTTATCTTACTGCGCAGCAAGGAGGAATACGAGGGGGGTGAACAGCTAGCTGGCTGCACTAGGGAAGCGGGCCCTCAGGCGATTATTGCCCGCATTCGCATTCGACCGATGCGCAGTCACTGACTTAGTCTGTGATTCGGCCATCCACTCACTCCATCGAACTATGCTGTCCAGCAGACTTTCCAAAGATGAACGCGTCGTGCTGCAGCTTCTGGAAGAGATTCAACGCTTAGTGGAGCTGGCGGGTGGCGAGTCGAAAGAGGGCGAGGAGGTCAACCCGCGTATGCACCCGGCTGCCAAGCTGTATCTGGACACGCGAGACACGTTCGAGGTCATTGAGGACTTGGTGGAGGAGCATGTCAAGGGCAGACCCAAGCTGCTTCGAAGACTCAGCAAGCAGAGCAGCAACAGCGACGTCACGGTATCATCAGCCCCTACGTCGCCTCGTACAGCTCTAGCTATTCAAGTATCCAATGAAGCTGCCATCGACCGAATCCAGGAGATGTTTCGACACTTGGGCAGCTTACTCGGACCTTCGATTCTGAAAGAATTACGGCTACGGAAACTCTCGATGGCCTCCATCCTGCATTACGTGAGATTCTTGCCGATGGAATATCAATGGACAGCGTACAAAGAGGCACGGAAAGAAGAGGTGGAGCTGGTCTACCGCGAGACCGTTTATAATTCTCTAGCCACACATCCCGCAGTGCCCCACGCTACTCCACAAACAGATACTCAAACGCTTCGACAACGAGCCGAATTTGTCAAGCATCAGATCCGCAAAGATCTCGACACAGTGTGCTTGTTTGCTGCGGATGGCACACTCACGACAATTTTCGGCGATGATGGAGCGTCCGTGGAGGAAAACGTTGCTATTAAGTTTGAATCGCTCATTGCAGACGTCTACAGCACTTACCTGAAGGAGACGCTCGACGTGCAAATGAAGCACTTGACCCAGGTCTCCGATCAATGGGGTCACGATAATGCGATTGCCTCCTCTGGCTCGAAACACGCACCCGATACTGGGCCACCGCTGCTGGTGCAGTGTTTCTATCGTCCTCGCAAGTTTCGCAGCAAAGGAGGCATTTTTCCGGACATGCTCATGAACCTTGTGAACCGATTCGTGCATTTGCCAACGGTTCATCCAGGTCAGCAGGCGAAACTTCTCGTGGCAGATCCTCATCATGTTGGTGTGTGGTGGCAGAAATCTGTGTTTTCGGTGTCTGAGCGGGACGTAACCACGCTTCATGACGACGAGACTCGGGACATTTTCGGTCGGGTGGAGACTTTAGATGGCCAGCTATACGTGCCTCTACTTGGAAAAGGTGGTGAGCAGGATGGATCTCGATTGTTCGGCCGAAGTGGGGGTCTAGCGAAATGGGTAGGCCAGCGCGTCCTTGTCAACAACGGCAAGGACAGCGTGTGGGTGGAGGTCGTGGTCGTTGATGTTGACGATAAGCGCTGCAAGCTACAGATCAGGAAATCCCTTCAAAAATGTGCCGAGATAATTAGCTGGACCCAATTCCTATCACTGAATGAATGGGTAAACATGCGTGAATTACGGTTTATCGGAGCTCCAGTGAACCCGCACTTCCGCGTCCAAATGGGTCTCAAGTTCCGCGAAATCTTGGAGTCCGTGCAGGTGGTAGTCGTTGAGATTAGTTCCGTGTTCCCGAATGGCGAGTTGAATGACAAGGTTGGCAACGCGCTATGGAAGTCAGTGGAAACGTCAATTAGCAAGGGTGAACACATATTTGCACGCTACTTTCGCTCGATACTGCAGCAAGACGTATTGACTCAAGTCCATCCTACCGTTTACGCAACGCCAACGCGTTCACTCTCCTTGAGTCGGTCAAGCTCACTCGGAAACGTGTTTTCTCCTGGGCAAGACAACGTTCCTCAGTCAGTTGTACGAGATATGGGGGTGACTCAACCGATCTCTCCGGTTGTAAATTCCGCAAGAGGCAACTCCACAAGGCTCATTTTGCTGGGCGAGCCTGGTCATTTTGACGAAAGTGGGGCGTATTGTTCTCGACGACTATCACGCGGAGGAAGAGGAGCTATGTCGTTGCGGCCACCGGCATACGAAGCCCCAATTGATACTCGAGTTATGTCACCATTTGAGAAGTTGGCGCATCATTTACTGGAGGAGACGGAGATTATGGGAACCTGTGTCCAAGCACAGAACGTCGCGCTGAGCTGTGCGTTTGTGCAGGTTTTGCTTGAGAAAGTTGCCAAGATGAAGCGCCAAATGCAAACATTGCTGCAATTGCCTTCGTGTACCGTCGAAAACGTCATTTCAGAGCACGCCAACTCTTGTAGACTTCTCTTCGTATGGAGGATATGTCGGCATCAAGTTGATACCATGGCACGGAAAGGAAGGAAAGGCAAGCGGCGACATGCGGAGCATGATAGTCGATACATCCATCTGAACTGGGTTGACCATGCGTTCGAGCGCGTCGAGACACAGATCCTTGGTATGATGCATTCACTTGTCCACTATGCACATCGCGCGTTCTTCCACGAATGCATGAACCACTTGCTCCCCGGGATTTACGAACAGCCATGGACAACGAGCAAACCCTGGTTTGGGAATACGCGGTGCACTTACGCCGTCCAGGGGTTCGTCTTTCGAATGCAATTGTTGCTGGAACATGTTAATAACACGGTCTTGGTGGGATACGAACGGAATCTCGGCGTGCACGAGAAAGTATACGAGCTGATGGTTCGAATGCTTCTGGACGTACTGGCATGCGTTGCTGAGGCGTATGAAAACCTCTCAGTCTCAAGATCACGGGAAGGCCAATGGAAGATCGACGTTCTCTATCTCGTATGTGGCGTTTACAAGTTTCTACGGCAGTTGGATCAAATGTTTTCATCCCGGGGTGCTAGTCAAAGCGCCAAGGGTAAGCGCAAAGGTACGGCATTTGTTCGTACTTGTTTACACATTATACGAAGTGGTCGTACAGCGTTACACTTAATTTTACTGCCTTGGACTTTTGTTTGCAGCTATGATCGACGTTCGAGTTCTTTGTTTGCGCTTGCTCGTCCACCTTGCAATACGATCGGGGCCCGCGAGTATCGTACTGGATGCACTGTCAAAGAAAGCTCAAGCCGACAGCTTTGAGCAGTATGCTGGTGTCGACACGATTTCGGAGCTAGAGTATCATGTCGTCTCCATCCTCGACTCGGTGGATCCTAAGGGGGACGTTTTGGGTGATTTTGGAATTGATGAGGTAGGAAGCATGAAACATCCGCTTTGTTCAGACCTTAGCCCACAGCACTAACTTTGTTTTACCACGCTCAGAGTGAAAAAGAACTGTGGAGGATACACACGGTATTTGGAGGCATCGAACTAAAGAAGCTCAAGGAGGTGCAGCTAAACGTGAGTGTTCGTGTACGTGTTGCTTACTTCGAGATTTTATCTAACACAACTTCACTTCAGTGGGTAGCTCTGATATCGCGAAGCGGCTTACCGAAACAAACGCTCTTGGGTTTTCTTCGGCATCGACACGAGCTTGGCGACTGGGCCTATCCTCCATTAACAGAAGAGGAGTTGCAAGTACGGGAACAAATTCAGCAGGTTCGTGCGTGGTTTGCTCGACTTGAAAGCGTTAGTTGAGAACTTACACAAATATTATATATTGTGCACGCAGTTTATTGATCGAGTTGACAACGGCGCTGATCAGAACGATGGAGAAGAGCAGAGCGCTGCTCCATCGGAGCAAACCGCAAATAATGACGACACCAGCAGCAACTATCAAGCACCGGAGACGGGTGATAGCATATCCAAGACGTCCTCCGATACGCGATCTCTAAATTTGCCCACTTAAACTATCGCTGTGCTTGCGTCTCTGATCAATTTGAGAGCTACTTGTGGTCGTTCCGGATTAAGCATTCACCAAGCAAGTCGAGCTTGAAAGGCATGCTACTCCCTAAATATAGGAGGTGTGCCAAGCTTCGCTGTCTGATGCGATGAGCGTTATGCTGCTGCACTTTTGTTTAGCAACGGCTCACCAGCATTGTGCATTCCTAGCGCTTCAGCCCATTGCCAATGGAGATGATGTCGGGAATGATGGGCGCTGCCGCCCCAGCGCAGTGGACGCAACTTTGGGGTCCGTCATTCGGATCAGCAGGGTCACAGCCCATGAGACGTTCAGCTCACGCCGTCACCGCCTTCGAGGACAATCTGTACATCTTCGGTGGCATCAGTACGAACGCACTTGACGAAGATATCGAGCACAACGACACGTGGGTGTTCGACCTCGTTGAACGACAATGGTCGGAAGTGGAAGTCGGCAACAATCGGCCTTCGAATCGGTTCCATCATGCCGGCGTGCTGCATACAAACGCCAGTGTCAACGAGTTTGTCGTATTCGGAGGACTGTCCCTCCTTGCTGCGGAGACTGACCAGACCACGCCAACGACGAGCAACAGTGTACCGGTAGTGCAGTACAACGATGTTTGGCGCCTTTCATTAACCGGCAACACCTCCGAATGGATAATGGACCCCACTCCGCCGCAGTCCGATGCCCCGGACGCTCGATCTGAACCCGGAATCGTGATTCATAACGACTATCTGTACATGTTCGGTGGCATCGCGTACGACGAGAAAGGTGAAGACAGCCCCGTCGACTACAACGATCTATGGAGATACGATCTAGCCAACTACACCTGGGAGAAGATGGAGCCGGCAGGGAATGTACGGCCTCCCACTCGATTTTCCCATTCGGTGGCAGTGCTGTACGACGATGACGAAACTGGTGAGGCGTATCTACTTGCATACAGCGGTCGCCACCTTCTGATGTCGAGTTGGACGCTGCTGGACGACATTTGGGCCTACAACTTTAACAGCAACGCGTGGATGGCTGTCACCCCGTCGTCCGATGTCCCCCGTGCATACACCTCCATTGTCACCACAAAAGGCTTGGATATGTGGTTTTTCGGTGGATACTACAAGCCTCAACAGAGCTCCAGTGGCTACGTGTACGACGACGTCGTCCTCGGGAAATTCGACTTGAAGAACATGGCGATGGAAGCGCGGCACGCCGTGATCGAGAGCGACGAGGCGTCCCCACCGTTGCGCTACAACCATCGCGCTGCTCTTTGGCGCGAGGACACCATGGTTATCCATGGGGGTAGCTACCAGAGCCAACTTGGCGATGTCTGGGTGTATAATACCACGAACGCAGAAACCACCGAAATCTCGAACAATACTCTACCGCTTGATCCCGAGTCACTGGTGTACGTCCTGGGCGCCTTCATCGTTACGGTAGTCTTCGTTCTCCTTGTTCTACTCCTTCGTTGGCGACGCGCAGATCGGAGAAATGTACGCATTTGCGCTGTATGTAGTGTTGGTCATGCCTGGCATTAACCGTCATAACTGGTTTCTTGTATGACCAGGTGCGTGCTGCGCAAATGCGAGGAGCTGCGGTGGTTCGCGGCGTCACGAAGGAACGCTTAGAGCAGCTACGCGTCACGAAGTACTGCCGCGCCGAGCGAAACCCACAAGCACCGACAGAGCCGCTCAACCCGGCAGAAGGCGGCTCAACGGAAAATGACGATGTGTGTCCGATCTGTCTGGTACGTCACCACGGATACCTTTAACGGAGATGGCAAGGGGCCTTGTTCTCATTCGACTTGTCAACCGATTGCACGACCAGATCGAATTCGAAGACGGCGAAGATGTTCGCAATCTGCCATGCAAACACATTTTCCACGTGGCTTGCATCGATGAGTGGCTCAAGCGCAACACGGTACGTCTCCAGTTCCAAGCCATGATACACTGAACAGGTTTACTTACCGTTTGATGCACGTACTTGTACACCAGTCGTGCCCGATGTGCAAAAGCAACGTGGATCTGGACGCGGTGGATATCACCGTGGAAAACCTTTCAACTGGTAGAGGAGGCGCTGTGGTCACCCCCGTCCCCTAACTTCCAGCGCACGAAGTTTGCCCCTGTGCTGATCATCATATTGTATTTGCCTCGATGGTTCGTTGTCGTGGTGCTTAAAATCTCGTACTCTTTGACTCCTGTTTCTGACATGCAATAGCTTCAGCAAAAAAGAAGATACGGTTACTCTCTATCTGCCTATCGGCGGCGCTGCGAGCTCTGGGCTAGCAGCTCCTTGGTGACCTTCGCTAACCGCTCCAACTCCTTCGGCGTCGCCGGACCTCCCGCACTACAAAACACACACAAACCCACACATAAGTCCACTACACCACACACCAATCCGCCCAAGACAAACAACACAACGTACATCCAGCGGATGCGTCCTTTGCCGTCCACCAGGTGCGCGTACCCCACGAAGCTGTTGTCCAGTTCCATGGGCGTGCGGAAGTCGTCGCAGCGTCCGAAGTGCGCGAACGTCGTGGCGTGCAGCTCGTTGGGGATCTTCTCCTGCAGCCCGCGCGTGATGCTGCCGCTCACGAGCTTCATGTACCAATCCTCGATCACGTTGAGCGTGAGCGTCTGCACCCTCTTGTCCAGCTGGCCCTGGCCGTCGCTCATAGCGGCCACGAAGCCCTCCCGCCAGGCCGGCAGCATGTCCAGCCCGTAGTTCTTGAAGGCCGTGAGCACGAGCGTGGCCTTGCCCTTGGTCACGAAGCTCTGGATGTCCACCTGCTTGCCCTCCAGAGTGTCCACCTGCAGCGAGGGGACGCTCCTGGCCTTGCCCACCTCGATGAGCGCGTCGGCGCCCTCGCGCACCTTACCCTCAGTGTCGTTAAGTTGCTTGAACTCGCCGAACATGTTGGGCCGGTACTTCTTCTCCACCTTGCGGTCCGCCTCCTCGATCATCTCGTCCAGCGCCTCGAGCGCGTTGCGCAGGTTCTGCGCCGGGGACGCGCGCACCGACAGGATTTTCTTGGGCTTGGCGGCGGCGGCGGGAGGGGCCTCCTTGGACGCATCCGGGGAGCTGGAGAACGCGGCGCGGAGGGGCGCGCGGCAGCGGCGCAGCGCCGACGTCGCGCGGCGAGACGTCAGCATGGCCAAGTGAAGTGAGCTTGTGGACGGCGACGAGGTATTGTGCGGTTGGGTTGCATTAATTGAGTTGCTTTAATGATTGGAAACTTAAGTAATGCAACATAGTCACTTCAACTCGTAGATTGTGGGGTGTATCAAAAGAACCCCGGGGTTTCAAGCTGCGGATGCGCGCAAGCTGCCGGCCACAGGCTTCTACTGGCGGTGCATTGTGCAAGAATGACAGAAGCGATTTCGTGGTCGATGGTCTTGTAGTGTGGCAACAGTAGCGTGGTGACGAGGACCTGGTCGGAGTGCTTATCTTGCCAGGAATAGCTGGCTATTTCGACGATGAACCAGGTACCAGGGAAGGTCTGGCGAACACAACTGCGGGGGTCTTGTCCAGCTAGCGGCTGCGCGCGTCGTGGAGTGGAGTGGGGCGGGACCATCAGCGCGCCATTAGCATAAAGACCTCATGTCGATTTTTGGCGGCTCCGAGCGGTTCCCCAATGAACCAGGTTCGGCGGGTGCACTGTGCAGCGCGTTGCTGTAAGTCACAACTAACCTTGTGTTACCTTCGATGCCTTTATCTAGCTCGATCGCCAGGACCGATCTACGCCAAGCCGGAGATACGCGCCAATGCGCAAGTTGTTATGAAGGCCGACTACCGGCCTGTAGACGAGAGTCGGAAATGGGGCAAGCGCGAGAGCTGGATCGGGGGTGAGCTACGCTGCCGTACAAATATCAAACCACCCGTCCGTCGCGATACTAACCTTTCTGGGCTTGTTACGTCCAACGTGTCAAGGCCCGTCTCCCCAGATGCCCATAGTTAGCAAAGGTACGCCCTAAACGTTTGCACTATCGATCAGAGCAAACGCTTTAACGTTTGCCGTCGCCTTTTGCCGACAGAAAGTGGCCGAGCCCCTGGTCACTACAACGACAATGTAAATCCTGTCAAAACAAGAGCACCGAAGATGTCATTCCCGAAATCCGACCGCTTCCTATCGCAGAAAGGTATGGCTATTCATGTGCTGATTTGATCACTGTTCAACGTGTCTAAGTGGTTTCTCCGCGCTTCAACAGTAAATATGACGGATATGAACCACCAGCGCGAGCTCATATCGGTGGAGAGTCCCGGCCCGAAGTACAACGTCAACTATTTGGCGGCAAACGGCGGCAGGGCTGCTCCTCCCAAATATTCCTTTGCAGCGCCCCCTTCACCGAAGACGACAGCGCGCGCCGAGGCCCACAAGACGCGGCTGCCTGACGTTGACACTCCTCGGCGCGGCCACCGCGAGTCGTGGCTATCTGTTATCAACCGCAACGGCGTCTTGGTCATGCCAGCGTCGCCCGTAAGACCTCGTCAGTTTTCAAACGGAGGCACTTCAACACCAGAACAGGCTCGCGCGACGCCACCCGAGGAAGGTACCCCACCTACACCAAGCAACAATGCCAGCGTGAAGAACGGCGGCAACGCGTTCGGCCACGAACATCGCTTTGGCAAGCGACAAATTGAGCAGCCCAAGCCCAATACCCCCGCTGCAGGCAACACCCGCGTGCAGTTCGTGTCGGCCACGCACACCCGCGAGAACATGGGTGAGTTCTCGCCAGGTCCGATCTATTCGCCGTACAACCCGGAGTGCCCCGGCGGCCGACTGGCGCCGTCGCCAAGGACAGGTCGGCGACCACAGCCGCCAGGCAGCCCGGCCGACCCGAAAGACCCGCACGCGAACCCGAGCAGCCGCAGCTCGTGGCTTGCGGGCGCTGTCCGCAAGTGCGAGGGGCAGGAAACTGTGCTGCTGCGCATGGGGGACATCCCGCCCGGCCCGGGCTCGTACGCGGAGCCGCTGTCCTCGTTCGCCACGTTCTCGCACAACGCCAAGGCCAAGTCGATGCGCTCGTCCGCCATGGTACGCTCGCTTGATACCGGTAGCCACAGTCTGTTCGCCTGCAATGGCATGCTAACCCTCTCGAACGCGCAGGTCTCCCGGCCGTCACCGAGGAAGACTGGAGCCGCGTCCGCGCGGCAGCTGCGCCAGCGAGAGGCCTCGCCCCGCAAGGGCAGCGCCATGACGAGACCCGCCGAGCCCACGGGGCCCAACAACGAGTCCTAGGACAGCCTTGCATGGATATTCACGCCGATAACAACGATAGATCAGATAGCTGCCACCCGCAATACTTGCTTGCTTGCTTGCCTTGACCTTGGCCATCTCAGCTCGATGCGCAATGAGGATTCCTCATTGAGGAGCCACCGAGAGAAAACTAGATCGCATGCGTCAGCGGACACGGTATCCGCGCGCTGATTCGGCTCAGCTGTATATCGCATGCGGAACAGGAGCGGAACGTTGCCCCATGCGTGTCAAGCGTAGTGTACCTGACAACTTCAACATGCCGCCAAAAAGGCAACATGTACCCGTCAGGCGACCCGCGAGGTGACGGACGGGTAGGGCAGACCATCACTGCGCAGCTGCTCTGCTGCCTTTCCTGCTGTTGCTGGTCGCGGCGAGGGGGGGACCTTCGCGGCATTGTCCGATGGCGTACTGTCGGACGTCAAGGTGGCATGGGGCACGTTGGCGAGTGTCGGCGGATCGGCTAGTCGACGGCGGGGCTTCACCGCTCGGTCTCCTCGCTCGCGAGGTCTCCGCTGCAGCCCGCAAGCGACGTCCACCCGAGTGGATAAGGTGTCCTTTGAGCACGATCGCCGCTCGCGGCGTCACTACGAGACCCGTGAGTAACACGGAGCCTATCGTGGCAAGGGGACACTCGCGCGACATAAGGCCGGCCGCGGCGGTGCAGAGCGCCGGAGCTCGGGCTCTCTTTCAGCACACGCGCGTCATTTCCAGGTCAGCTCTCGGCGCCGACATTCGGACCACAAGGCCAGCCTCGCGTGCGTGGCGGCTTGCCGCGCTGGCGGGGATTTGCAAGCATGGCTAAGCTCGCGGCGGTAAGCCAAGCTGTCGCGGCAGCACAAACGTCAAGCCATGTAACACGGCCCCAGCTGCGTTGCATGAAGACTATCATTACATGGTGCTTCTGCAAGTGAACATGCTGCCGGCCCGAGGTGGCCTGCAGCCTGCAGCCTGCAGTGCAGGCGGTCTGCCACCGGCGACTTGCTGCTCCGGGCTGTTGAAGTGGCCCGGGAAGCCGGCTCTTAGCCCCGGCTACGGCCTCTCCCTGCGTCACATTGTGAGCGCTGCATGCGCTGATGGACGCCGCATTGAGATAGAGTCTCTACTGAGTGTGATCATAGAGATTCACGCGCTGTGCCTTTCAGCGCGGCGTGCCCGCAATAAGCGGCCATCGCGCCCTTGGACCCGAAGCAGCAATGGGCATGGCCAGCTCGATTGATTTCTGCACGGTGTGTGACTGAGTGTGCCCCGCCGACACGCCGGCTGGCGGCCGGCCCAGACCGCGAGGCGCAGCTGGGGCCGCCCCGAACAGAGTCGCGAGAGAGGTCACATCCTGGCAAAGTCTCCAATGCCGGCCGGAACGTTCGCGGCCCGGGCTTCGGATCTGGTCCAACACAGTACGTATGACCCGAGGCCATCGAAAACTTTTTCCACTGCAATCGCCGCCAAGCCCCGCGCGACTGGCTCCAGCCAGCGGCGATCTTCGCGCACTTGTAAAGGCTCGGCCCTGCGCGCTCGGTCTCCGTGCAGAAAAGCATCTGCCGCCCCGACAACCCGACCACAACGCAACTCGCGTGCGTCGCCAACAGCAGGCCGCCGCGTTTCGCCCCCTCGCCGGCTCGACCTCTGCCCTCCTTTCGGATAGGCCCGCTCTCCCCCCCTCTGCTCTGCGCTCTGCGCCGCCCGCCGTGCGCACTCACAACTCCACTTGCTGACTCTCGCGCCCCGGTCTCGCCTGCATTCGCTTCCCACCTCGTTGGGCCCAGCGGATTCCTGGCGCAGCTCCGAGTCTAGATGGCAGGAAGTTCCGAGAAAGCGGCAGCCTCGGCTGCCGCTAGCACCAGCAACAACGGCCTCAGCTGTATCAAGTGCGGCCGCGACGTGGCCGAGTCCGACGCTTTCTGCATCTACTGCGGCACCAAGGTGAGCCTCTCGCTCTCGCAGCGCAAGCCCGCCGCCGCCGCGGTACCCGCGGCCAAGCAGCCCGAGAAGAAGCCCGAGGCCAAGCCTGCGACCGCCCCTGCTCCCAAGCAGGCCGCGCCCAAGCAGGCTGCTCCGCCCAAGCAGGCCGCTCCGGCCAAGCAGGCGGCTCCGCCCCAGGCCCAAGCCGGCCCAGCCCAAACCGGCCGCGGCCATGCCCACGCCTGCCCCGCAGTCCGGCAACAGCCGCCCGCCCACCAGCGGCCAGTCGACGGCCCCCTCCAGCGGCAACTCGGCCGCGGGCCGCCCGGCCGCGGCTCGCCCGGCCCCGATGCCCACGTCGGCCTCGACCCCAGCTCCTGACCGCCGCTCGAACCCGGCTTCCCGCCCGTATCCGTCACCCGCCGCCCCGCGCGCGCAGAGCGAGAGCCGCATGAACGACCACAGCGGTCGCAGCTCGCTTGACGGCGTCCCCGCCGACGTCGCCGGCCTGGAGAAGCTCTGGGTGCCCGACAACTTCAGCAGCGAGTGCATGGACTGCAAGACGCCCTTCGGCTTCCCCAAGCCGCGTCGCCACCATTGCCGCGTCTGCGGTCTGCTGTTCTGCCGCCCCTGCGTGAACCACAAGATCCAGGTGCCGGCCTCGTTCGGCTACGGCAACGCGCAGCAGCGCTGCTGCCGCAACTGTATCACGGCCCTGCAGATGAAGGCCATCACGACGCCCGCCGACGTGTTCGCGCAGCGTCGTGGCCCCGTGAGCCGCTCCATCTCGGGCCAGGAGAGCTACGAGGTGCTCGGTGTGTCCTCGGATGCCACGCCTGAGGAGATCGCGGCCAAGTACAAGGAGAAGTCGCGCTCCATGGACCCCACCAAGCGCGAGGACCAGGAGACCCTCGAGAAGATCAACGACGCCTACCGCAACCTGCAGGACCCCAACGCACGGAGCCGCGATGACTCGGGCCGCGCGCGCGACTCGAGCCTGCTGGGCGGTGACTCGACCAGCCACTTCGTGTCGGACACGGCCCGCAGTGACCAGACGGAGTGCCAGGTCTGCTTCCGTCCGTTCAAGCTGGGCCGTCGCCAGCACCACTGCCGTCGCTGCACGCGCAGTGTCTGCAACCAGTGCAGTGTCGAGTCCAAGCCCATCCCGGAGCTGGGTTTCCCTATGCCCGTGCGTCACTGCACGTCGTGTAACGAGAACCCGCCCAAGTTCATCAAGCCCGTCATGGACCCGGTGGCCAAGCCCCCTGCTGGCTTCGAGTACCTGACCAAGCTGGACATCCTCGTGAACGTCAAGACCAAGCAGGGCGGCAACACGGCCGACACGGAGACGTACATGGTCAAGACGTACTGCGAGCCCAGCGAGGCTGCGGCCAAGGCGGCCAACTACTCGGTCACCGAGTCGGACCGCGCGGTGACCCACGAGTACCAGATCCACGAGGAGCGCAGCATGGCCGACTTCGAGTGGCTGTTCGTCAAGCTTGGCGAGGTCACGAACCCCAAGGCTCTGCCCATGTTCCCGGACAAGCGTACGGCCCGTGCCGACCGCGAGAAGGTGCTGCAGACGTTCCTGTACGGCTGCATGCTGCACCCGCTGCTGCGCGACGCCGACTGCCTGAAGGCGTTCCTTGCGCTGCCCACGGAGCAGCTCCGCCAGTTCCAGAAGAGCGGCAAGAAGACGCTGTACAACACGGACGAGTACAACACGCTCATCAAGTCGCTGCGCCTGGAGCTCGAGAAGGCCCAGATCCGTACCAAGGTGAACGGCCTGATCAACCGCCAGAAGGAGCAGAAGCAGCGTCTGGCCCAGCAGGCCGCGCGTGCCGAGGAGCAGCGCAAGCGTGACGCTGCTCAGAACATTCGCCGCGAGCAGGCCGCCTTCCGTTTCAAGGCTCTTGAGGCCCGTAAGGAGACCCAGACCGAGCGTATGGAGCGTGAGAAGGAGCGCTATGAGAAGCAGTCGAGCACCACGCACATCTTGTTCTTCGACGTCGTGCGTGACAAGTCTGTGCGTAACACGGAGGAGGAGACCCGCATCAAGGAGAAGGTCGAGTTCACCAAGTCCAAGGACAGCTTCCAGCAGGACACCACGCAGTGGAACAACGACATGGCCCAGTGGTCGAAGCACCGCGCGGACTGGTCGGAGGCCCACAACCCCGCTGTGTCGAAGGATATCGCCAACGACTTCATCGTGCACTCGTACGGTATCTTCCACTCGCACCAGGACCAGAAGGACAAGGTGCCCCGCGAGCTCATTGACCTGCACGCGCAGTTCGTCAAGATCCAGGAGAAGGAGCCTGAGCTCCTTGAGGAGGAAGGCAACACGGTCGACGAGGAGTGGATGAAGCTGGCCAAGGAGCGTGAGCACTGGACCAGCAGCCGTGCCAACATGAAGCGCGAGGACGAGATGTGCCGCGACGAGGACACTCGCTACAAGCAGGAGCACGAGTACGTGCGTCTGGAGGCCGAGGCCCGCCAAAAGAAGGTCAAGACCATCGAGGCCGACCTGCTAGCGCTCAAGACGGAGATCAACGCCCGTACGCGCTCCATTGCCCAGCGCCGCACGCGTCACCAGGCCCTCGACGAGGAGTACGAGAAGGAGTGGCGTGTGGTGCAGACCCAGCGCATCAACACCACGAAGTCTCGTCTGGACGAGCACTCGGCCCGCATCACGCGCGGCAAGAAGCGCACAGACGTCTTCAGCGACCAGCTCGCGCGCCAGACCAAGTCCCAGCGCATGCTGCTGTTCAAGCGCGCCGCTCTTACGGAGGAGCGCAAGGCGGACTGCAAGCTGTTCGACGAGCACCGTGAGGACTGCAAGAACACGCTGGACGAGGCCCGCAACGCTCTGGTCATCACGCCTGAGTACGTTGCTCGTCTTGAGGCCGACATGAAGGTTCGCGCCGGTGAGCTGCAGGCTGTGAAGGAGAGCAACAAGCGCATCCCGCAGGAGGGTGGTGACGCGGAGGTGGACGAGCGTGACGAGTTCATGAACGAGACCCGCCGTCGCCGCGCCCAGTTCCAGAAGGAGCTGGACGACCAGGCTGCCCAGCTTGAGGCCGAGAACAAGCTCTGCACGTCGCTGCTGGAGCGCATGAACCAGCACATCAAGAACCTCGAGGAGGAGGTGAAGAACGCCGCCCAGGAGGAGACCATGATCGGTGAGTTCAACAAGCTCATTGATACAGAGACAAAGCTCCTGGCGGACGAGGAGGCCAAGCGCGAGGAGAAGAAGCGCCTGATCACGGAGCTCATGAACAACGCTGGCAACTGGGTCCTCGACTCCCTGCACGAGCACTCGAACCGCAAGAAGGTGGAGGCGAACCGTCTGGTCAAGCAGGCCGTGCGCGCTGCCGACCTGCAGAAGCTGGTGCAGCACTTCACGCACCGCGTGATCGACCAGGAGGAGCGTATCATGCGCCAGAAGCAGCGCATCCTCAACGGCGAGCACAAGGTCGAGATGCTCAAGTCGTCGGAGAACTGGTACCAGTATGTCACTGGCCACGCCGCCGACCTTGGCAAGAAGGACATGAAGATCCTCGAGGCTGGCCGCAACGAGCGCGGTGAGGACCTGAAGGAGTCGTCGCGCCTGCAGAAGGACGACGAGTCGGACATCAAGAGCGTTGTGAAGGAGCTCTCGGTGAGCCGCAAGTGCGCCAAGGAGAAGGTGGAGAAGCGCGAGATCTGGGCCCAGGTCGAGGACGTGTACAGCGTGTCCAAGCCGCAGGAGAAGGACGAGGACATGATGATGACCTCGCAGATCCGCAGCCTGCTGCAGCAGCTTGCTGAGGCCTTCGAGATGCTGACGAACCGTCTGCTCGAGGAGGAGGAGAGCCTGCAGCACGCGTCCACGCAGTTGGAGGGCGAGATCGAGTCGATCAACGCCTTCATGGAGCGCATGGAGAGCGAGGAGAGCGCCCTCTGCGCCACTGAGAAGACCTCGCTCGCCAAGGAGTCGCAGGTGCGCCGCTCGGAGGCTGACCTGATCGAGCAGCGTGCGCGCGCTCTGATCGACAGCTACAAGCAGATGCAGGCGGAGCACATGAAGTACCCGGTGGAGCTGGGCAAGATCAAGAGCCGCCGCGCTGAGCGCGAGAAGCCTATCCTCCCGCGTGAGGCTGAGCTTGAGGCCGCCAAGAAGCTGATCAAGAACCGCAACTACTACGACCGTAAGGCCTGTGCCGAGTTCGCCAAGCGCTTCCGTGTGGACCAGGAGCTGAAGGAGGTGCGTGACGTGTTCGACTGGCTGAAGCTGGTGATTGAGCGCGACATTAAGCGGATGGAGAAGTGGCTCGACTCGAGCCGCAAGGAGCGTAAGGAGATCGAGAACCTGAAGGTGAAGGGCAAGGAGATCAACTGGGACGAGGACACCCTGGAGCGCATCCCCGCGCTCAAGGAGATTCAGAAGAAGATGGCTCGTCAGAACAGCAACTCCAACCACAAGGGCGGCAACAACGAGGCCAAGCTGGCTGACGCTGTGCACCCGTCCGAGCAGTGGATCGTGGAGCTCCTCAAGTTCAAGAAGAACATCTCGGAGATCGACTCGAAGCTGCTGAAGGACATCAGCGTGACTGTGGACTCGGCTGTGAGCGAGGAGGACGTGGTGAACGCGAACCTCAAGAGGATGAAGACGGACAAGGAGTACGTGCTCAACAGCATTCGCTTCATTGACCAGGAGGAGGCCAAGGCCATCCGCAGCACGGGTAAGGGCGGCGTCCCCGGCCGCCACAGCCCCGGCTCGGAGAGCGGTAGCTTCGTGAGCGGCGACGAGCAGCCGACCCCGAAGGCCCGCACTCCCTCTCCGGCTCCGGCACGGTCTCCGTCGCCAGCCCCGGCCCGTTCCCCGCAGCCGGCAAAGCAGGCCGCGTCCCCGCCTAAGCAGGCTGTTTCCCCGCCCAAGCAGGCCACGTCGCCGCCCAAGCAGAGCGTGTCTCCGCCCAAGTCCGCGCCTGCCAAGTCGACCTCTACACCTTCCCCGGCACCTGCACCTAAGCCGCGTGCCGTCGCGAAGCCTCGTTCGGAGGAGTTCTAGATAGAAAGAGGACTGTAAGGAGATCGGTGGTACGCGAGCGGCTTGACGGTCTCCTCTGACGTCGGTATCTATGGGAAACACAAGCCGCTCGCATGTTCCTTGTTTTTATTCCCATTTTCATCGCAAGTGCTTTTGTAGAAAATGGTTGGAATATCTTTTTATTCGTTCGTTACCGGCTACCGCATCGATTGCAGCAGCACGACTAGATGTATGTAAAGGGACCGCACCGCATAGGCCATATCGCCACTTCTTCATTCCCACCTTTGCTTATCTCACACTCGTCTCTCAACAGGATGCTCCTGCGAACCGCCACGACAAACCTGAGTCGTCGGGCCTCGATGCTGGCTCAATTCTGTGTGAAGTGCCATGACTTCGCCCCACAAGATGTGCCCGCACGCCTTCGCTCGAAGGAACTCGAGGCCGAGCTACTCTTTCGCGAATCGATTTGGTGGGAGCATCGTCGTAAACTTAACCGCAGTCTTGTGAGTCAGGCGCGCGAGGCGACGAAATGCAGCTTGGACGAGGACGAGTTCTTTCACGAGGACAGCGACGAAGAAGACAGGGTGGACGACGACGACGACTTTGTGCGATGCAGCGCGATAAAGCGGTGGAGGGTGGAGACCATCTACGAACGTTTGCTCCGCACAGACCCAGCTGCCTTCGACCTTCCTCAGATTGAAAGTGACCGCTTTGCAAAACTGTTGGAGAATCTACGACGTACTGAGCGCTTAACTTCATCTTCTGCGTTCGGCTTCAATGCGGACGTGGGGCGTATAAAGGAGTCGGTTCAAGAGGTTCTGTTTCATGTGAAAACCATGTTCGAGCGAGGTGAACTGAGCTGCATTAGACGTCCACTGATCTCGTCTCGCACGGTGCTTTCGAAGGGCATCCCAAGTTGGTTAGTTGAAAGCAAGAAGCGCAAGATCCTCGTGGTCGTTGTGGCGCATGATTTATACGAGGGTCAAGCTCGAGCCTTGGTGTTGATGGACATCGCTCTCGGCATCAATGAGGAGAAGGAAGTGCCCAGTGACTCAATTCACGGGATCGTCACAGACTACCACCGCTGGATGTTTCTCAAACGAACGCCCAACGAGATCGCGTGTTGCAACGATTTCATCATTGAGGCAACTGAGGATGCAGACGTCGCGCGTGTGGCGCGGCGCCTGTATGGGATATTTGAAGAAGGAATCAACTATCGTTGCGGTGCTCGCGGACGTCGATCGCCGCTATGGCTCAAGAGAATGTTTTACAAGTTTACGGGAGCGTAGAAGCGCTCTGTAAATGGACCTTCAGTCACAACAAACAGCAGTGAATTACCAGGATCAACTTCTTCGACGAGAAGAGCCGTATCGTGAGTTTGAAGATCAGGATGCAAGATTTCTTTCGAGAACGATAGGGTCGACTTAAAGAAAAGACATCAATCCACTGCTATTGCTGCCTTTGCTCTCCGCTAGTTCGGTGCCTTCCTTAGCAATTGCTTTCTTCTTCGAGGTGACCACCATCGTCATAAAGCTGTAGGTTACACACATACACCCCACTCCTGGAAAATACTAACCCGCCTGCGCCTACGAATGACTCTAGCAGCGTGATGTTCAAAGCGCTTTTCACCGCTTGCAAGCTGAAGCGGAACGCCATCGGGGCAACGAGCTTTGGTCGAGGCCTTTCTTGGCGTCAACCTTCCACGGACGAGGCAGGCAAGCATCGACGCAAGCTCAATGGTTTCCTCGCCCAGAGGAATGGTACCGTGCAGCTCAGTCTCGTGGAACATTGTAGTGTCTTTCGACCCTTTGCTTGCTTGAGAATCCTTGCTTGGAGGTGAAATGAATTCTGGTATTCAATGCAGCCGCTGCGGCTTGCACCGCAGCGGTTTCTGTTAGCTTCTCTTTGCTATATGTCTCCTTACTATGCAGTATACAAGTGCTCTGAGAGTTCGCCCCGCTCTCATGCTTCTTCATGTCGTTGATAACGACCGTGCGAAGTGTCTGCTGAAGGCAGCCTGCCCCAGGCCGCCACTACACCGCCCTCCAAGCAGACCTTCGTACAGGAGCTCCCGCCATAGCTTGTGTCGCACTACTTCTTGGTGTTGCGCTTGGCGCGGCGTTGGCGGTGATTCTGTTTTGGCGGCTTCGGTTGAGCATCATTATCCCCACCACGCTTGCCCCGACGGTGAGACAGAGTTGGCTGGGCTGTAGACTCTGCACGCTTTCTTCCTTGGGGATGCGACCGCAGTTGGAGAACGAACTGACGTAATTCGTCGTCGTCGGCACTGTCGACATAGTCCTGCAACTTGATCGGAACATCCTCATACATAGTCCTCACAGGCTCCCAGGAATCCTCGATGGCCTCGAGGCCTTCCCAGCGCACCAATATTTCATAAGTGTGCGCTGCGTGCTTGCGGTACTGAGTGAATGCCTCCACAGTTAAGTAGATGTCTTGGTTTGCAATGTGTGCCAACATTTCCTCGTTGACATCCAGACTTTGGTCCGCATACATTTTCAAACGCGAGGCATGAGCAAACTTTGCCGTAGCAGTGATCAAATGCTCGATTTCAAACGAGTTGACGTTTGCGCCAATCACACGGTACGGCCCCACCCACGTGACCGAAAGTTTGTTGCCCTGCTTCTTTGCATCGACTCGAGACCAGAGAACATAGTCGCCAACATGAAAGTTGACTGAGCGAGCACCTCGCTGTTTGTTCTGGTTGCGCTTAGTTTGCTTTTCCTTGGCCGTGGCTACGTCTCGGTGCATGCCATCGAACGACGCTCGCAAGTTGCCAACAGCCTCACGCACGTCTGGCGAGAAATCACCCGTGGTCACCACATTTGCCGCAATAGCATCACTGCCAATCAGGATTTTCTGCAGTGGAGTCGTTGCCTTTACTCCAAGAAAGACTTCGGCTGGAGCGTGGTTGGCCAGAGATGCCACTGGGCTGTGATTCAAATTCGCTTGAATGAGTGGTAGCAGCGCAACCCAATTATCTTGCTCCACCTTATACTCCAACAGCATGACTCGCAATACCTGCAGAATATCGCGATTTAGTCTCTCGACGCTCCCATTGATCCACGGGCAATACGCGAGAGTGAAGCTCTGAGTCATCTGGGTTTTGTGGCACAATTCCTCCAGTAGTTGGTTCTTAATGTGCGTTGCAGTATCGCTGATCAGCACTGAGGCATGCCGTATCGACTATTCCAGTCCAGAATTGCCGTGGCCGCTGTGGCCGCATTTGCACTCGAGCACTCGATCAGTTCGCAGTAGTGAGAAAAGTCATCTTTCATGACCAGCAGATAGTTGCACTCTCCATTGTAGTCCCCAATGAACAAGTAGTCCATGTGCAATGCTTCGTTGCGCTCTTTGGAACGATAGGTCTCACCCCACGGACGTGGTATTATTTCCCCGCCCTTGACGTGGCAGCACAAGAGACAGCGACTGCAGAATGCTCGTGCTTTAGGCTCCAATCTTTCAATGAGGAAGTGTTCTTGGAGGTGGTTGATCATCACCTTCACCCCTCGATGGCCCATTGTGCCACAGTGGGCGATCACCATCAGCCTCATCAAGAGCACTTCCGCGTCCTCCGGAATCCACACACGGTTTTGCTTATCTCTCCAGAACCCATCCGGTTGCTCCTCGAGATGCGGCGGACGAGTGCACGTTGTTGCTAGTTGCACACCTTTGATGTCTTCCTCCGTAGGCCAATCAGAGTCTGGACGCAGTGGACGAAGCTCCACCTGCACATGTGCATCCTGCGTCTGCCAACGCTTGATCGTTGTAGTCTCCCTGGGCAACTCGATGCAACCCCAACGAGACGCCATATCCGCCCACACATTTTCTTCTCCACTGATATGCTCAATAGTCATTAAGTTTCAAGCTCCATCGCTGCAATTTTCCTCGCACGTGCTTCTTGATCTCATCACCCGGTGCGAAGATGAAAATCAAGTTGCGATGGTCAGAATATAAGCGGAAACCTTTAGAGCGGATCAGCAAATAGTCCAAGTCCATCGCTGCCTTTATGATCGGAAAGGCCTCTTTTTCCGATACACTCTAGTGCTGCGCAGCTCCCTTGAACGTGCCGCTCATGCAGTGCACGAGTTGATGCTGCTGCTCGGTAATGCTAGTCGCAGGATCCCAGTCCGCGACAGCCGTCACGATGATGCTCCAACCTGCATCGCTGGCGTCCGTCATCAATATGAGCTCGTCCGAGTCATCCGGAGTCACCAACGTGGCTGAACTAGCGAGTAGTTGCTTAACTTGGCCGAAACTGATGCGTTCTTCGTCAGAAAAGTTAATCGCGACGCGTGCTGCAACATGCTTTGTCCGCTTTGTTCCTTCTAACGCAGTCTGCAGACGTTCTTGCAGTGGCGCAGCTACTCGAGCGAAATCAACCAGGGAATTGCGCATCCAGCCGGCCGCACACAGAAATTGCTGCAACTCAGCCGCGGTTTTCGGCTCAGGAAGATCACTCAGCGTCTGAATCTTTTCGTGATCATACGCGACCCCGTCCTCCTTAATGATTCGGCCGCACCACTTTGCTTCGGTAGTGTACAGGCAGATTTTATTCAGCCCGAGAAATAGTCCATTCTTCTCCAAAGTACTGTAAACACGGTCAAGAATCGATAAAAATTCGTCTATCGTGTCTGCGTAGATGAGAAGGTCATCAATCCAGGCCAGTACATGCTCGTACAACAGATTCGCTTCACGCATAATCTTCTCAATCGATTGCTGAAATTGGATCGACGAGTCCACTGAACCTTGTTGCAGACACGTTGGCGTGAAAACACCATCTTCCGTCATGTAAGACTGTGACTCTTGACTTACTTTAGCGAGAGCCATTTGCCAAAAGCTTTTCAGGAAGTCGACAGTTTGCCGGTGTTTCTTGTTCTTCGTGTGGTGAAGTCGTGTGTACTGAGACTGGGCATGGATCCGGCTACAGGTAAAACCTGCGCATTAGGACGACGAAAGTCCACAGCTTGACGAAGTCCTCCCGTTTTTCCTGGCTTCTTCACAGGTCGAGCAGGACTAGCCCATCGGCTAGCTTCATTCCGATACACCCAACCGAGCTCAACCAGCGATTCGTTGAACGCCTTCATCCACTCGCGCTCCGCGGGTGCGTAGGTGCGTGGCCTGCACCGTATTGGCAGAGTTCCCTCTTTGAACCGAATGACGAACGGTTCAATCTTCGAAGGTGGGTCATTTCCAATCGCGATGCGCCAGATATCGTACCGCATGGCAACATCAAACAGTTCTCTTTTCCGCTCTGCAGGGAAACCATTTGCAACAGCTTCGTTGATAAGCTCACAGAGTCGTGCAATAACCTTCTTCTTGTCTGGAGGATCGAAACTCATCGGAGTCTCTGACTCGAACGGATCAAAATCCACAATCTCCTTATTCGCAAGTGCAGAAAGCTGACCTTCAACATCAATTCCTAGAGTCTTCAGAGTGAGCCGGCCCAACAGGAACTCATCCTCTTCTGTCTCCGTCATGATACAAGTCACCTTGCGCATGCGAACCTTTCCTGCAGGCGTGATCAACTCCAAATCCAGCTGAATCGATTCATCACAGCTAATAATTGCGCCTCCCACAGCTTTTCCATCAATCGGCTTCTGTAGGCGCTCAACTTTCACATCCGGACAGGCTTGCAGTAATTCCTCCACAATTCGACGAGGAATCACATTGTATTTCGTGCCATTGTCTGGGAAATAGGGCATTGTTACCACCCCATTGAATGCAACGTGCATTGGTGCGAGGTCTTCACCATCACCCAACACTCGCTTCATTTTCGACGCTTCAGCGTCCCTGCGTCGATCCATGCGCTCTTTGAACGCTTGTCGAGCAGCCTTCTTTTGCTCATCAGTGGCCGAAGGACAGTCACTGACCCAATGAGTGCCCTTGCAGTGCAGACAGCCCTGAGCAGGTGCAGCATCGCGCTTCTTGAATGTAGGTCGCTCGTCCCGACGATCTTCTCGAGATGACTGCCATCGATCTCCTTTCTGCGATTTGTGGTTGCTGCGAGGAGACGTTTTCGTAGCTCTAGCTGAACTTCTGTCTCTTGTCGAGTGAAAGAGATCAAAGGATTGTTTATTCTTGAGTGCCTCCGCCTTGATAACATCAAACAAGCGCGGTACACTGAGCTTCACCGTCGGATCTAGGTCTTGGTACAGCAAAACCTGATCCTTCAAGCCGGAGGGACGCAGATTTTCAGTCAGCAAACGGCATTTCAGCTTTTCATTACCGTCTAGCGCCACACTCAAGCCATATTCTTCGATGAGTTCAT